TTGTATGGTCTCTTAACGTGCTAGTGACACCCCTGCTTTTCATTGGGGGATGGTGCATCGTCTGCCAAGTCTTTTGCTTTCGTAGTGAGTGATTCTCGTGTGCAAGTTCGGTACTAGTCCCTCTAGGATTTTCCAGGTGTATATAATCATGTATCTCTCCCTCCTGCGTTCCAGGAATACAGGTTTAGGAACCCAAGCGCTCCCAATAATTGAGGTGTTTTATCTCCGTTATGCGCGCCGTGAAAGTTCTCTGTACATTTTCTAGGTCGCAATTTCACCTGCCTTGAAAGGTGCTGTTAGTGTGCAGCAATATTCCAGCCTAGATAGAACAAGTGACCTGAAAGAGTGTCATCATGGGCTTGGCCTCCCTAGTTTTGAAGGTTCTCATTATCCATCCTGTCATTTTTCTAGCAGATGCGATTGATACAATGTTATGGTCCTTGAAGGTGAGATCCTCCGACATGATCACTCCCAGGTCTTTGACGTTGGTGTTTCGCTCTATTTTGTGGCCAGAATTTGTTTGTACTCTGATGAAGATTTAATTTCCTCATGTTTACCATATCTGAGTAATTGAAATTTCTCATCGTTGAACTTCATATTGTTTTCTGCAGCCCACTGAAAGATTTGGTTGATGTCCGCCTGGAGCTTTGCAGTGTCTGCAATGGAAGACACTGTCATGCAGATTCGGGTGTCATCTGCAAAGGAAGACACGGTGCTGTGGCTGACATCCTTGTCTATGTCGGATATGAGGATGAGGAACAAGATGGGAGCGAGTACTGTGCCTTGTGGAACAGAGCTTTTCACCGTAGCTGCCTCGGACTTTACTCTGTTGACGACTACTCTCTGTGTTCTGTTAGGAGGAAATTATAGATCCATCGACCGACTTTTCCTGTTATTCCTTTAGCACGCATTTTGTGCGCTATTACGCCATGGTCACACTTGTCGAAGGCTTTTGCAAAGTCTGTATATATTACATCTGCATTCTTTTTGTCTTCTAGTGCATTTAGGACCTTGTCGTAGTGATCCAATAGTTGAGACAGACAAGAGCGACCTGTTCTAAACCCATGTTGCCCTGGGTTGTGTAACTGATGGGTTTCTAGATGGGTGGTGATCTTGCTTCTTAGGACCCTTTCAAAGATTTTTATGATATGGGATGTTAGTGCTATTGGTCTGTAGTTCTTTGCTGTTGCTTTACTGCCCCCTTTGTGGAGTGGGGCTATGTCTGTTGTTTTTAGTAACTGTGGGACGACCCCCGTGTCCATGCTCCCTCTCCATAGGATGGAAAAGGCTCGTGATAGGGGCTTCTTGCAGTTCTTGATGAACACAGAGTTCCATGAGTCTGGCCCTGGGGCAGAGTGCATGGGCATGTCATTTATCGCCTGTTCGAAGTCATTTGCGTCAGGATAACATCGGATAGGCTTGTGTTCATCAAATTTTGTGGCTCTCTCATAAAAATTCATTTTGATCTTCGACTCTCAGTCTGGTTAGCGGCTTGCTAAAAACTGAGTCATATTGGGACTTGAGTAGTTCACTCATTTCCTTGCTGTCATCCGTGTAGGACCCATCTTGTTGAAGTAGGGGCCCAATACTGGACGTTGTTCTCGATTTTGATTTGGCATAGGAGAAGAAATGCTTTGGGTTTCTTTCGATTTCATTTATGGCTTTTAGTTCTTCCCGCGATTCCTGACTCCTAAAGGATTCTTTTAGCTTAAGTTCGATGCTTGCTATTTCTCTGACCAGTGTCTCCCTACGCATTTCAGATATATTGACCTCTTTTAGCCGCTCTGTTATTCTTTTCCATCGCCTGTAAAGGGAGCGCCTGTCTCTTTCTGTTTTACATCTACTCCTCCTTTTTCTTAAGAGGAATAAGCCTTGTGCATACATCGAGTGCCACCGAGTTAATCTGTTCTAGCCATAAGTTGGGGTCTGTGCTGCTTAGTATATCTTCCCAGCTTATATCGGTTAGGACTTGGTTTACTTGGTCCCACTTTATGTTTTTTGTTATTGAAGTTGAATTTGGTGAATGCTCCCTCGTGACTAATCTCATTATGTCGGTCTGGGCTCCGCGCATACATGACTGAACCTCAATTATGTTGTGATCTGAGTATATTGTTTTTGATATGGTAACATTTCTTATCAGATCATCATTGTTAGTGAAGATGAGGTCTAGTGTATTCTCCAGTCTAGTAGGCTCTATTATTTGCTGGTTTAAATTGAATTTTGTGCAGAGATTTAAAAGCTCGCGTGAGTGTGAGTTTTCATCAGAGCTGCCTCCTGGTGTTATTACTGCAACAATATTATTTGCTATATTCCTCCATTTTAGGTGCCTTAAGTTGAAATCCCCCAGGAGCAAGATGTTTGGTGCAGGAGCTGGAAGTTTTCCAGACAGTGGTCAATTTTTAACAGCTGTTCCTGGAATTGCTGGGATGTTGCATCCGGAGGCTTGTAGACTACCACAATGACTAGGTTTTGGTTCTCGACCTTTACTGCTAAAACTTCCACTACATCATTTGAGGCATTTAGCAGTTCTGTGCAAACAAGTGACTCTGCAATGTACAGGCCAACCCCCCCCTTTTGCCTGTTCACTCTGTCACATCTGTATAGGTTGTAACCTGGGATCCATATTTCGTTGTCCAAGTGATCCTTTATGTGGGTCTCAGTGAAAGCCGCGAACATTGCCTTTGCCTCTGCAAGCAGTCCACGGATGAAAGGTATTTTGTTGTTTGTTGCTGGCTTTAGACCCTGTATATTTGCAAAGAAGAATGTTATCGGACTGGTGGTATTGTTGGTACTGGGGGGGGGATTTTTTTTCCGGCATTAGTATCTGTATCTGTTGGTTTGGAGTGGAGGCCATCGACTGTGGTTCCACTCCAGGAATGACTGGATTTGGTGTACGATTTCTGCCATTTCCTGCCAGTTTTTTTTCCTTCCTGGCACTAAAAAACCTCTCCTTCTTGAGTGGCTGTGGCTACCCAGGTTTTCCCATGGCCTGGATGTTTTGTATCTTTTTTGTCCCCTTTAGATGGTATGCCTGGCAATTTAAGTTATAGCACAGTCTTTCCTGTACTGAAGAGGTACACAGTTCAGGGTGAAAAAGCTTACAGGAAGGGAGTTTGCATTTTCCTGTTGTCATATGGGTATGGCATTTTCTAGGGTGGTCACAGTTGCACGTCCCATCTGTTTTTCCAGATTTCCCATGCCAGCAGATACCGAGTGCATAGTATGTGCACAGGCTTGGTTTCCGTTTGCCTTGGGTTTCTGTGACTGTATTCCCCGTTGGTGCATGTTTCCCTGTCTTACTTCTATCCTCCCTAGCACCAACAATGGAGCTCCCACCAGTTGTTTTTGGTAATATATCCTCACTATTGCTAGTGGAGTCCTCTTGTTTGCTATTTCCTGCGGTATTTCTAGTTTGCAATATTGGTTTTATCTTATCTTTGACTACACTTGTTTCCCTACTATGGCTCCTGTCCCCTATGAGGTCATTTATATGTATTCCTGTGTGTGTGTGTGTGTGTAAGAGTGAATATGTATTGTATACTTTTTTTTTTTTTTAACAAGTCGGCCGTCTCCCACCGAGGCAGGGTGACCCAAAAAGAAAGAAAATCCCCAAAAAGAAAATACTTTCATCATCATTCAACACTTTCACCCCACTCACACATATGTACGTATTTATTTATTTTATTGGCAGTATTTAACATACTGCTTGTCGCCCATGGAGGACATGTGCCTGTCTATCCATGTCCTTGGTGGGAGACAACTAGTGTGTTAAATACGTACTGAAAATAAAATAAAAAATTAATGTAACATATATATGTATAAAATATATATTAACTCTTACACACACACACTCAAGCATGCAAGCTCATGCATGCACACACCCACATGCCCATGCACTCCTGGCAGAGCCAGGAGCTGCAACCACAACCAGGTGAGTACAGAGAGCATTTTTTTTTTACCTCGTTGTCTCCTACCACTGCAAGGTAACCCCAAAAAAAAAGAAACACATTCACCATCACTCACTCAAACATTGTCTTGATAGAAATGTGCTGACATCAAAATTCAAATCCCCCCTCCATACTTCAACATCCTCACCCTGCCTTTAGAGTACAAGCACTGCCCTTCCCACCTCCAAGACTCAAATCCATCTAACCAGTTTCCCCGAATTCCTTCATAAAAGTTACCTTGTTCACACTCCAAGTATAAATCCATTAAAAACCATTTGTCTCCATTCACTCGTCTAACACACTCACACGAGCCTGCTCAATGCTCAAGCACCTATCACTCAAAACCTCCCTTACCTTTTCCCCCCATCCAGATTTATACACCTTCAACCCCAGATTTATAATACCATCAAAACATTACTTAAATAATGATTCTTTTTAATTATACGTAATTTGTCTTTATTACACACAAAGTATCAGCTAACATATTCTGCTCATTGTTTTAGATTCGGTAAAAGTTAATGGACATTATTATTATTTTCTTTTAGCAGTTTTAAGGTCAAGTAATCCTAATACAAATACAGCCTCTCCTCACTTAGTGACATACTCGTTTACTGACGACTCGGACTTATGACGGGCTCTCTGACCAGTATGCATACCTAAATAATGTATATTAGAGCTGATTTCCTGTATTCTTTTTATTAGAATACACAGTACACTACTGTATAAACATTCAAAAATATATCAGAAATGTTATAAATGGTACATAGGTGACATTAAAACAATATCGAAGATGGTTGACACAAACCCACTACCATTACAGTATGCTCCTCGCTTAGCAATGAATTCGTTTACCAACGTGGTCTTAGGAACGGAACTCCATCATTTAGGAGAGGCTGCAAATATTTGGAACTTTTTTGTCTTAATAGGGTTGGTATATAAGTTTCTGGCTGTTTTACCACAGGTCTCAACAAAGTTTAGTTCAATGTTTTAGGTACAGCATTGATGAATATTTAACTCATTACATAAATGCATCATAACTGTTACATACTGTACCTAATAAAGTCTGTGAAAAGTACTTCAAGGTGTTAGCAATATCAAGGCCAGAAGGAGCAGGAACAACAGCATGGAGGAGTCGAAGATGGTAATCACTCAAGTTGCGGATTTTAGCTGTAACTGTTCAGGAATAAAGGAAAACACATTATTTTCATTGCCAAGCCAGCTTTAATAAGAGTATATGCAACATTCTTCCAACCACTCTTTCAACAATCAATCATACCTCCTAATATCAGTCAGCAACTCTTAATTGATTCAATTTCTCTTTTTCCTGATAATTTTTTTTTTTTTGTATTCCATCTTACTCAAGTTATTACTAAGTAGTAAAAAGACACATACAAAAGATGCTTCTCTAAAATCACATCACATTTGCATCCAATAGCCTACCCTTGGTATTTTATCCACTAGCTCATTCTTCTCCCTGCATACTTCCATCATACTTCAAATATGCATTTGCTCGCCCCTCCTATTTACTTTGTTTCATTCAGTGCTAGGTAATTCAGCTTAATTTTCTTCATAACATTAGCCGTTACTTAACATTTGTACACCTGTATATGCAAGCAAAGTCAAACAACTCATCTTCAAAATTTCACTCACATGATAGGATGGTTTTCATCTACCAACCAGGATGGTTTTCATCTACCAACCAGGATGGTTGTTATCTACCAACCTACAGTACCTGCCATATATCTACTGTAGATTCACAACTTACTTTTAAACTAACTTGCACACTACAGTATACAGAAGTGACCTCTTACAAAAGTGGAGAGATTTCACTATGACCTTGTAGACAAATCCAGTAAAAAGGAGAGAACTGGGAACACTGAGTCAACATCTATGATCGAAGTTTCTTTAACCTTTTACCAGCAGATATATATATAACAAAAAAACATTGCTAGAACAAAGCTAGAAATTCTCAAGAGGAAATTGAACTACTTTACCAGTTCCTACAAAAAGTACCAGATTACCCAGATTGTGACTATGTAGGACCATAGGCCACTAACAGCAACAGCCTCGCTGACCAAGCAGTCAGCACTGAAACCAGTCACAGATATATGTATATACGTATATTACCCTGTAACAAGTAAATATTCAAAGGTGTTGGTAAATTCTACAAGGCCTTGACCTGCCTTAAAAAAAAGCATAATTCAGAAAGCCAATAAAAAAACTGATGGAATTGTAAAAGTTATTCTTTTTAAACAACTACAGCATGCAAGGAAAATCAGGCTGAGGAACTCGTAGAATTTAGCAACACTCTTGATCCTCTGCTTGACAGAAGTGAGGCTAAAGTGAGATTACAACCACTTCATAGGGAGGTCACTTCTGGTCACTCCAGTTAATACATGCTCCTCTCTGAATCAATAGGAAATGGTTCCTTGAATCTAGCTCTGAATACATAAAATAAGCTCAGCTGCAATAATTGAGGTTCAATTCAGTGTAATTAACTGCATATACATAATATGTATTATAAAAATCTTACAAGCTGCAGCTCTTGTCCCCATTTTGAATACTTTTGCTGATTCTTCACTTAATTTGTAGTTCTTTACAAGTATGGCATTCCTTTTCTATATGATCTAAGGTTGTCACATCCTGAAATAAAAAAATATTATTCAGCAGATATATCTGTAAAGTATAAATTCTTCTTCTTCTTCTTCTTCTTCTTCTTCTTATTATTATTATTATTATTATTATTATTATTATTATTATTATTATTATTATTATTTTCCAGGTGAAGTGTTAAATCCTAGGGTTCCTGCAGCACCTGAGGAATGGGAGGTAATCATGCTTGATCTGAGGAACGAGAGGATTAAGAACTCTACATCAGATATGTAAATGAAAAAAACAAGTAAATTTAGTATGAAAAAAACTCAATAATGGCAAAGGTAAAGAAACAAAAATACAGAGAATATTTAAAAATGTGAACAGAAAACTGGAAATTTTAACATCATTAAAATGCCTTAACACTATTTTCTTTATCTTCATTAAATAAAAATTTAAATTTTGTAGTGACCTCATTTAACATTTTGGAATTGGTGTTTCTTTGCTTGCATACCCTAATTAAGAAAAATAAATAAATAAATATCTTTATTTCTACAAGTACATATACAAGGTATACAGACCATAGCTAACATCAATGACATACTACTATGTAGAAAGTCGCTCGTTATGCAGAGCATTTCGGGCAAATTAGGTCAGTTTTGTCCCCATTTTGCGACCCACATCCGTCAACTAACACCGAGGTACCCATTTTACTGACGGGTGAACATAGACAACAGGTGTCAGGAAATATGCCCAATGTTTCCACCCTCGCCGGAAATCAAACCCGGATCCTCGCCATGTGAAGCAAGAGCTTTAGCCACCAGGCCACAGGGCACCAAGCTAGATAACAGGTAGATAACAGGCCTTAAATACCCTATGAGACCCCAACAAAGAATAATATATGTAAATTATTAAGGTAAGTGGCCACCCTAAGGTATTTCCGTCTAAGGGAGAGATGCTCCCCTGAACGAATCTGCCAAGATTTCCTACTTTATTTCTGCAATATTGCAAGCTCCTGATGTTGATTGCAACACGGAAGGACTAGAGCTATCATTCAACTCTCCCTGTAGTTATTTTCCATATGTTACTAATGTATGACAATTATACTTATGTGTATCAGTACCTAAATAAACTTACTGAACCCAATCATGTCTTAAACAGCGAGTTATATATCCCCTGGCATACCTTCTACATCCAGAACACGGCTGATAAATGTAGGAATTACTGGCAAATATGGCTCATCCGTACACCCCCAGAGTTGGTGCGGCCATCACCCCAGAGAGGAAGAGTATGAGAGAGGCAAGAAGAGATGAGAGACGTCTGCTCATGCCCACAGATGCAGCATCCTCCTGCACCTGCGCCCTCTCCTATAAACATTGTCTTCCATTCCTTGCAAACTTGCCTTCATCAACTTTTACGTAAGTATCTAGAATAATGTGTATGTTATATGTAAATTAAATATGTTTTTTAATCCATAAGAGAGGATAATGAAGAAAAATTGCATTGGTGAGGACATATAATGGAAAGTAAAATAAGTGAGGTGGATAAAGGCACAGTCGCTGCAATGAATTCGGGGAAATCTCTGATCGATACTGTTGACAGACAGACAGACAGACAGGGGAGGCAGTGGGGTGGTGGGAGGGTAGGGGAGGGAGGGGGATAGACTGACAGGGGAGGGGGAGGAGGGAGGGAAGATTTAAGGAGTTTATTTCCTTGCATAGTTTACAGTTTATTTATTTATTTATTTATTATTTGGACATGATACATAGTTGTACAAAGAAATATATTGATTGGGTGTACATGGCAAAATCCCCTTGTATGTGTAATTACAATATTGATTTGCTAAGTGCAAAGGAAGCCACTATCATGTCGAGGCATTTCAGGCAGACTATAGAAAGATAGACAGGCAGGGGGTGATGAGAGGAGAGGGGAGGGAGACAGACAGACAGGGGAGGCAGGGGGTTGGAGGGAGGGAGAGAGAGAGACAGGCAGGGGGTGATGATAAGAGGGGAGGGAGACAGACAGGGGAGGCAGGGGATTGGAGGGAGGGAGAGAGAGGCAGGGGGGTGATGGGAGAAGAGGGGAGGGAGAGAGATTGACAGACAGGAAAGGCAGTGGGGTATGGGGAGGAGAGTCGAGGGGGAGAGACGGAGATAGACATAGAGAGACAGACAGACGGAGATAGAAAAGTGAGTGGGAGAGAAAAGAGACGAGTGTGAGTGGGAGACAGACAAGTGATGGGGGGAGAGACCAGATCTACCTGGAGTTCATTACCTTTGTAACTAGTTCAGCTATCATAACTTTGAGGCCCAGTCCCTGGACCCATTATGTACCTCTGTAATCTTTTGACTACCGCCCACAGGATGGGTATGGGGTGCATAATAAAGATATTAAATTGTAACTGGAAGAGACAAAAGTGAATGGGGAAGAGACAGACAAGAGTGAGTGGGAGAGACAGAAAAGTGAGTGGGGGGGGGAAAGATAAAAGTGTGAGTGGGGGAGAGAGACAGACAAGAGTGTGAGTGAGAGACAGACACACACACACACACACACTGGGGGGAGGATGTTGAACTGTACAGAAGGTTCCAGAGAACTGAGTGTCCTTGAATCAACGAAGGTCAAACCCTCTAAGAACAATGACGCACAACAATAATTGCATTCAGGGGGAACGCTAAACCCACTGGGGTCATCCAGCATCTGGGTAACTGGAAGGCATTCAGGTTCGATCCCAGGAAGGGAAGGGAAGAGCAAGTCCAATTCCTTGAATCAAGAGCACCTCACCTGCATCAAGAAGGATGCTGCAAGATAAAATGTTGAAGCAATCTTTCTCAAACAAAACAAACATCTTATTTCTTTGTGCATTATAATTATAGGGAGCGCAAAACCCGTAGGATTATACAACGCATGTGGGGGGGATGGAAGGTATTCAGGCTCAATTCAGGGAACCGGAGCACAGATCCAATTCCCTAGATCAAGAGCCCCTCACCAGTGTCAAGGAACCTCCCTTGAGGGGATTTTCTTTATACAGTAAATAAGTTGTAGTTTACATGTAATAAATATTGCTAAACACAAAAGAAAGCCACTAACATGCATGTGCATTTCTCGAGATAAATGTAGACCAACAAATCACTGAGGGTTGATCTCACTGCTAGGATTGAACTACTCTTTGTAGTGATCATCCCCTAAACAAAAGGTCTCTGAATCTGACACAGTACTCATTGGAGGAAAAGAAGGGCTCTTTACCTTCTCCTGTTTTCCTCAGCAAGAAATGTAACACATTTAAGCACCAGATGTACTGCAATCTCGCCTATAAGGATGAGCTAGTTTATTTCTTTTCCACCACTATATCAGACCAACTAAGGTGTCATCATAGGTCCTTCATGACCTCAGGATCTCTTGATTGTTAATAAGCAAGATTTTCTTTCTTTTTTTGGGTCACCCTGCTTCAGTGGGAGACGGCCAACTTATTAAAAAAAAAAATTATCAATGCCTGTAACAGGAAGGCCTGATGAATTCACAATCCATCACCACTCAGTGCTATGAAATTACATTTTTCTGTACATTCTAAGGAAAGCCTCTTGTTATGCAAAGCATTTTAGGTAGACTAAAACTATTACTTTTATTGTTTATACCTATCAGTCATTTAGAGAGAATGGATCACAGTAGAATGACATGGAAAGCATATAAATCTATAGGGGAAGGAAGGCGGGGTAGGGGTCGTCCTCGAAAGGGTTGGAGAGAGGGGGTAAAGGAGGTTTTGTGGGTAAGGGGCTTGGACTTCCAGCAAGCGTGCGTGAGCGTGTTAGATAGGAGTGAATGGAGACGAATGGTACTTGGGACCTGACGATCTGTTGGAGTGTGAGCAGGGTAATATTTAGTGAAGGGATTCAGGGAAACCGGTTATTTTCATATAGTCGGACTTGAGTCCTGGAAATGGGAAGTACAATGCCTGCACTTTAAAGGAGGGGTTTGGGATATTGGCAGTTTGGAGGGATATGTTGTGTATCTTTATATGTTTATGCTTCTAGACTGTTGTATTCTGAGCACCTCTGCAAAAACAGTGATAATGTGCGAGTGTGGTGAAAGTGTTGAATGATGATGAAAGTATTTTCTTTTTGGGGATTTTCTTTCTTTTTTGGGTCACCCTGCCTCGGTGGGAGACGGCCGACTTGTTGAAAAAAAAAAAAAAAAAAAAAAAAAAAAAAAAACCTATCAGTCATCTCCCAATGAGATAGTGGCCTAAAGAAAAGGTAAACGCATTCGCTATCATTCATTCAATCACTCTCATCAGAAGTGTGGTGACATCACAGTTCAGATGACCCTCTGACTGCAACATCCCCTTCCCTCCTCCAGAGTGCAGGCACTGTCTTTCCACCACCAGGACTCAAGTCTGACTAACCAGTTTCCTTGAATTCCTTCATAAATATTACCCTTCATAAATATTACCCTTCATAATATGGAGGCAGTGGAGATGTCATGTCTGAGGGCAATGTGTGGTGTGAATATAATGCAGAGAATTCGTAGTTTGGAAGTTAGGAGGAGGTGCGGGATTACCAAAACTGTTGTCCAGAGGGCTGAGGAAGGGTTGTTGAGGTGGTTCGGACATGTAGAGAGAATGGAGCGAAACAGAGTGACTTCAAGAGTGTATCAGTCTGTAGTGGAAGGAAGGCGGGGTAGGGGTCGGCCTAGGAAGGGTTGGAGGGAGGGGGTAAAGGAGGTTTTGTGTGCGAGGGGCTTGGACTTCCAGCAGGCATGCATGAGCATGTTTGATAGGAGTGAATGGAGACAAATGGTTTTTAATACTTGACGTGCTGTTGGAGTGTGAGCAAAGTAACATTTATGAAGGGGTTCAGGGAAACCGGCAGGCCGGACTTGAGTCCTGGAGATGGGAAGTACAGTGCCTGCACTCTGAAGGAGGGGTGTTAATGTTGCAGTAGTTTAAAAACTGTAGTGTAAAGCACCTTTCTGGCAAGACAGTGATGGAGTGAATGATGGTGAAAGTTTTCCTTTTTCGGGCCACCCTGCCTTGGTGGGAATCGGCCAGTGTGATGATAATAAAATAAAAATATTACCCCTTGACCTTCTGTCCCTGGAGGACAGAAGGCCAAGGGGAGACATGATAACAACATATAAAATACTCAGGGGAATTGATAAGGCAGACAGGGCAAGCTGTATGAGGTGGGAAACAGATACTCAGCACAGCTGAAAGTTCAAGACACAGAAGTCACATGGATGTCAGGAAGTATTTCTTGAGCCTCAGGAAATGGGATGACCACAATGAAGAAGTGGTGGAGGCAGACTCTATTCATAGTTTTAAGAACAAATATGATAGAACCAAGGAGGCTAAGAGAGATTGAATATAGCAAGTGGCAAATTGAGAGGCAGGGCCAGAAAATAGGACTCGATCCCTTCAACCACGTAAAAGCAAGTACATGCCTGCCTGATGCTCAAGCCCCTAACACTCAAAGCCTCTTTTACCCAAACCCTCTAGTCCTTTCTGGGATAGCCCCTACCCCTCCTTCCTTCCACCCCAGATACAGTGCACCCTCTTTATCATCTTATTTCTCTCCATCCTCTCCAAATGTGCAAACCAGCTCAGCAACCCTTCCCCCTCTTCAGCACTAGAGTAGTTATGAAGTTCTTAGTAATGCTACAAGTATTTATATAAAGATTATAACATAATTGTAGATTTGTATGACAATTCAGCATGATTAGTTTCTATACATAAGAAACTGGCTGAGACAGCAATGGGAAGATAGCAGTTGAATGAGTTAGTGGTACAAGATACAATTGCCACCTGGAACTGTAACATTGGCAAATGGTAATAAAACACTCATTACAGTTAAGTCTTTTATTAATACAATTTTTCATCCACACTTGGAAGTCATTTATTAGTTCAGTGCTTTACCTGGAGGTCAGCTTTTTCACGCACTTAACAGATATGAAGTGCAATAGCTTAGTCATCCAGTGTGCAAGAGTCAAGTGTATCAAGGTTTAATGTCACCTGTGGTACCTTAAACTGTAACCTTGATGTACCTGACTTTGCTTCCTGGACCCCAACAGCAATAAATCCTATACTGGTTTTGTTGGATTATCCTGATTGATGCATCATACCTTGTCACTGTTCTTTCTTTCTTTCAACACACTGGCCATATCCACTGTTATATGACTATAATATAATATATATGTTTATGGTGCAACACTATAAATTCTTTATATACAAATTATTTGTACTAATACTTGGAACCTAAATAAACATCTATTCATATATTAGGAAGCTGCCATATTAAAGAGAAGAGGCATCATATTCTTTAGGTCCAATAGTGCCATCAGTTCAGCAGGCAAAGTTCATTGCATTGTTTGGTAGTCCACTGATGCACCAGGGACTTCAATGCAATGAATTTTCATTTAAGTTGACACCTGCCTTTCCTTATTAGTTCATTACACTGAGGTATTATTGTATATGAACAATATGTGTATATAGTTGTCAATGCAACTTAACATACGGCTCACAAGTCAGTACCCTGTAACATCACATGCAAAACCTCAACATTCATATCAACAGTCAGCACATTAAACTGCACTTACCAGTCATTGTTCACCAAATATATCACATGTAAAGAAGCTACAGTACTATGGACATTCACAGGGAGGTGCCCTGATGCTGGATCAAAGCGGATTATCTTACATTTCCCAGGTGCTGTATGATCCTTGTAAATTTGCAACTTTCCCATGAATATAATACTACACTACTATGAACCTAAACATCCAGTTACTATATTGAATAAAATGTCAGTTTCTGAATTATTTGCCCCTATTATGCAAACCATTAGAGAATTATTCTAAAATAATATATTATATTAAAATAATAAGAACATTATCTGTTACTCACTATGCCTACATTCATGTATTTATTTTTAAAAAGTGTACCTTCATTGTACAGTACGATAAATTTAAAGCAGGATATGGTATCTGTTTCAGGAGAAAAACATTTTTAAAATTTGCTTCTTATTAATTTTTCCCATGTTGTTACGTGGAAAAGCCTCAGTCAAACTGACTATCACTGAAGGAACTTGATAGTGAGGCATTCGCTCTTGACCCCACTTTCTTAACTCTTGTGGATCTAATATTGTTTCTTCACCTGACCACACCACTACAGCTGCTACCTGTTGTCAAGATACAAAACAACAATAAGAAATATCAAAATACACTTAATTCTGCTGTCATCCATTACTCATGTTTTTCTATATGCAAATATTCAGTCAAGTCAGTTTGTGCCACAAGTTCTCTGAACTGATCTTAATACACAAAAAAGATTGTTAAATGGACAAGTTCTTCCAAATCCATGGTCATTGTATAGATATTGTATATACTTTCAAACACTTATTTCTTGGTGGTAAAACAGTAATGCCTAACCTAATTTTCTAAAAAATTCTATGTGCCAGCTTTGGTTATACAGTGGAACCCCAGTTTTCGTCCTTAATCCATTCCAGAAGGTCAGTCGAAATCCGAAATGGATGAAAACCAAATTAATATTTCCCATAAGAAATAATGTAAATCCAATTAATCCATTCCAGACACCCAAAAACATTAACAAAAAATAAATTTTGTAGAGAATAACTATAGTTTTACATACAGAAAACAATGAGAAATAAATATAAATGACTAATTTTATAGTAGTAGGTTGGTAGACAGCAACCACCCAGGGAGGCACTACCATCCTGCCAAGTGAGTGTAAAATGAAAGCCTGTAATTGTTTTACATGATGGTAAGACTGCTGGTGTCTTTTTCTGTCTCATAAACATGCAAGATTTCAGATACGTCTTGCTACTTCTACTTACACTTAAGTCACACTACACATACATGCACACGTTTATGTATACACACTCATCTGAGTTTTCTTTGCTTTTATCTTAATAGTTCTTGTTCCTGTTGCTTTTCCTTTGATATCCATGGGGAAGTGGAATAAGAATCTTTCCTCCGTAAGCCATGCGTGTTGTAAAAGTCAACTAAAATGCCGGAAACAATGGGCTAGTAACCCCTTTACCCGTATAGCCTACTAAAAAGAAAAAGAAGAATGGGTAGTACAATGCCTGCACTTTAAAGGAGGGGTTTGGGATATTGGTAGTTTGGAAGGATATGTTATATATCTTTATATATGCTTCTAAACTGCTGTATCTGGGCACCTCTGCAAAGACAGCACAGTGGACCCTCGCCTAACACTATTAATCCGTTCCTGAGAGCTCAACGTTAGGTGAAATTATCGTTAACCGAATTAATTTTCCCCATAAGAAATACATAATGGAAATCAAATTAATCCATTCCTGACACCCCAAAGTATGAACAAAAAAAAATTTTTACCATATGAAATATTAATTTTAATACACAAACTGAAGAAGACATGCACAGTTACATGGCACTTACCTTTATTGAAGATCTGGTGATGATTGATGGGATGGAAGGAGGGGAGACTGTGGATGGTGTTAATGTTTAGAAGGGGAATCCCCTTCCATTAGGACATGAGGTGGCAATCCTTTTCCGGGGTTACTTCCCTTCTTCTTTTAATGCCACTAGGACCAGCTTGAGAGTCACTGGACCTCTGTCGCACAACATATCTGTCCATAGAGGCCTGTACCTCCCGTTCCTTTATGACATTCCTAAAGTGTTTCACAACATTGTCAGTGTACAGGTTGCCAACACGGCTTGCAATAGCTGTCTGAGGGTGATTTTCATCAAAAAAGGTTTGCACTTTAAGCCACATTGCACACATTTCCTTAATCTCTGAAGTAGACAACTTCTTCAATTTCTCTATCCCCTCCTCCAGAGCAGTTTCCTCAGGGCTGGCCTCTTGCTGTTGAAGATGATCCAGCAGCTCATCAGTGGTTAGTTTGTCATTGTCCTCCTCCACCAACTCTTCCATATCCTCCCCACTAACCTCCAACCCCAAGGACTTCCCCAATGCCACAATGGATTCCTCAACTGGCATAGGATTCCCAGGGTTAGCCTCAAACCCTTCAAAATCCCTTTTGTCTACACATTCTGGCCACAGTTTCTTCCAAGCAGAGTTCAAGGTCCTCTTAGTCACTTCCTCCCAAGCCTTACCTATAATGTTTACACAATTGAGGATGCTAAAGTGATCCCTCCAAAACTCTCTTAGAGTCAACTGAGTTTCTGAGGTCACTTCAAAGCACCTTTCAAACATAGCTTTTGTGTACAGTTTCTTGAAGTTGGAAATGACCTGCTGGTCCATGGGCTGCAGGAGAGGAGTGGTATTAGGAGGCAAAAACTTGACCTTAATGAAGCTCATTTCCATAGAAAGTCGCTCTGCCACATCTGAAGGATGACCAGGAGCACTGTCTAATACCAGGAAGCACTTAAGGTCTAATTTCTTTTCAATTAGGTAACTTTTCACGTTGGGGGCAAATGCATGGTGTAACCAGTCATAGAAAAAGTCCCTAGTGACCCATGCCTTACTGTTTGCCCTCCACAGCACACACAAATTAGCCTTGAGGACACTGTTTTTCCTGAACACTCTGGGAGTTTCAGAGTGATACACCAATAAAGGCTTCACTTTGCAATCACCACTAGCATTAGCACACATCAACAGAGTAAGCCTGTCTTTCATAGGCTTATATCCTGGAAATGCATTTTCCTGCTGAGTAATGTAGGCCCTGCTTGGCATTTTCTTCCAAAACAGGCCTGTTTCATCACAATTAAACACTTGTTCAGGTTTCAGTCCTTCACTTTCTATGTACTCCTTGAATTCCTGCACATATTTTTCAGCCGCTTTGTGGTCCGAACTGGCAGCCTCACTATGCCTTATCACACTTTGTATGCCACTATGCTTCTTAAATCTCTCAAACCAACCTTTGCTGGCCTTAAATTCACTCACATCATCACTAGTTGCAGGCATTTATCTAATTAAATCCTCATGCAACTTCCTAGCCTTTTCACATATGATCGCTTGAGAGATGCTATCTTCTGCTATCTGTTTATCGTTTATCCACACCAATAACAGTCTCTCAACATCTTCTATCACTTGCGATCTCTGTTTCGAAAACAAAGTTGCACCTTTGGCAAGAACAGCTTCCTTGATTGCCGTTTTCTTGGCCACAATAGTAGCGATGGTTGATTGGGGTTTTGTGTACAACCTGGCCAGCTCGGAGACATGCACTCCACTTTCATATTTAGCAATGATCTCTTTCTTCATATCCAAAGTAATTCTCACCCTTTTTCCTGTAGGGTTGACACTAGAAGCTTTCTTGGGGCCCATGGTGACTTATTTTGCAGGTGCAATCACTAAAAAGGCTGTGATAATATGAAATGTTCCGATTGTATGCTTGGAAGTGACTGTGGTGGCTGGCTTGTAAACACTGGCACCCACGAAACAAGTGAGGTGGGCTCAGGCCGCACGTGGACGCGTCTCGAACGAATCGCGTTGAGCGAGTTTTCTAGCGCTAGCCGAGGCAAAATTTTTGCGTTAAAATGTATCGCTAGGCGGATTCAATGTTATGCGATGCGTTCATTAGGCGAGGGTCCACTGTCCATGTAATTATGTATGAGTGAGGCGAAAGTGTTGAATGATGATGAAAGTATTTTTTTGGGGGGGATTTTCTTTCTTTTTGGGTCACCCTGCCTTGGTGGGAGACGGCCGACTTGTTGAAAGAAAAGACTAATTTTAATGAATAAATGAACATTTAAATCAGTTTTACCTTTACTGAAGACTCTTGTTGGCATATGGAAGATAGTGAGGAGGGGAGACGGAGGAGAGGATATTCTCTACCACCATCACTACCACCCTCTACGACCATCACTACCACCCTCTACCACCATCACTACCATCCTCTACCACCATCACTACCACCTCTACCACCATCATTACCAGCCTCCACTACCATCCAAACTTTCTTTGCCCCATGGTGGCTTATTTAGCAGTTGCATTCAATAAACAGGCGCAAAAAACAATCTATTATTACAAAATGTTTTGGATGAACGCACGGACTATTGCTCATTCAACAAGTGACAGAGGTGTAGTGAGTCATGTACGTGTGAGCGGAGCGTCCCAGGTGAGCAGACGCATCTGATACGGACGATTTCCAGGCAGAGGTAAGAAACCCGGGGTAAAATTTGGCCGAAAAGTGGTCGATATCCGCACCAGATGAAATCCAGGGTTCCACTGTATTTGAGTAAATGCGTTTACATACATTACACTACTGTACTGTAGTGCTACTTGATGGCTGAATCATTTTTGTTATCTCTCCATTGCTAAATACAGTTTTTCCCATTCTTTCTCTTTATTTTTACTCCTTACAGTTGAAAATATATACCTGCTGAGGGCAGTTCTCATTCTCTTCCAGCTTTCTGACAGTGAGGTAGGTACAACTAGCTAATGCATCAGTCTTATCTTGAGTGGACTGAGGATTGAGCTTTCACTACTCCTTGCTCCAAATGACCCACACAACAAGGTTAATGGTTTCAAATAAATATAATATTAATAATATTCACATTTGCTTCACACTGCAAGCAAGTGGTCACTAAATTTTATAATAGCCAAACCAGCATGTAGAATTCCATAGTAAATATTAGACAATTCTTCAAGAGTCTTGTAAGCTTTTAAACTGTTTGAAATACAGTACTATATGAATATTGGGAATACAGTGGACCCCCGGTTAACGAACTTTTTTCATTCCAGTAGTATGTTCAGGTGCCAGTACTGACCGAATTTTTTCCCATAAGGAATATTGTGAAGTAGATTAGTCCATTTCAGACCCCCAAACATACACGTACAAACGCACTTACATAAATACACTTACATAATTGGTCGCATTTGGAGGTGATCGTTAAGCGGGGGTCCACTGTATTCTACAGGTAGCCAGCCCCTCAAGGATTGCATTTCCAAAAGGTACAGGGTATAAACTTAACATAATAGAAAAGCATGGCAGCAGGCTCCTACTGGCCCATGCTGTATGACAATACACTATACATAAAAACATGAATATGTTACGATGATTAGTGAGGAAACTAATAATGAAATGTTAATGTACAAGAATGCAAAGTTATATATATATATATATTTTTTTCAACAAGTCGGCATAATGTTTTAGAATCAATCTTTAAAAGATTTTTAAGTCTGAAAACACATACACAGAAAACCATAAAATAAGGTTTAAGAGAAAAAATATCTGAAAAGACTTTTCTCTTTATTTATAATCTTGATTCCTTACCTCCTCTGGGAACTCTTGAAGGACTTTTTTTTGAAGCACAAATTTCTAAAGATTTCTGACCTCAACACACAAGCTGAAAGATATAGGCTAGAGGCTAGCCTACACTTAATGCAGAACATTAGATTAAAGGGAAAAAAAAAAATTATAACTAGCTTCTAATATGGAGAGGAAATTTTAGACATTTTGGGTCATCCTGGACCATCATCAAGTCATCACTCATGACCAGATAAAGACTGACTGAAATATTGTTCTAAGTATCTTCTGTAAACTGTGGGCTAATTATGAAAACCATTGTGTATGAAAACCATCCTCAGTCTGCCATTCTTTACAGTACATGAACCATATCCATTATGTAGCAAGAGCCACACAGCAATCCTGAAACTCTCCCTCATCATCTCTCATAAAAGTGAAGATTAAAAAAAGTGTTTTAAATTTAGTAAACACGAGGCCCTCCACATTCACGAGGGTTAGGGGATCAAGAACCTCGCGAATCTTGAAAATTCGCTAATGTTTGGTGCACAAATATGATGTAGGGAAATATAATATTACTGTACTGCAGCATTCGCAAATATTTTGATGTGCAAATATATTGTAGGGAAATATAATAATAGCATTTACTTAGCCTAACAATACTGCTTCCTTAACCTACTGAACCAAGAACAATCATAAAACACATGAAAACATCATAAAATATTGTATATACATGTTATGGTTTAACCCTTAAACTGTCCAAACATAGACCTACGTTCACATGTGTAGCGCTCCAAGTTTTTTATTACATAAGAAAGCATGTAAAAAAAGTAGGTCTACATTCGGAGAGCTACACTCGTGAACGTAGATCTACGTTTGGACAGTTTAAAGGTTAATAAATAATGAATGTGGGCATTCGTGAATGTTCAAAGCTCACGAAAGTGGAGGGCTGGCTGTAATACACATTAACAAAATGTCTTAAAATTTAGGTTGAATAGTAAAGGGGAGATATTGTCATGGCTTACCTTCTGGCCCCAGGTGATATCAGGGATGCCAACAACAGCAACATCAGAAATGTTAGGGTGACTAAGAAGGTGTCGCTCCACATCAAGAGCAGAGATTTTAAATCCTCCGCTTTTGATAATATCAACACTGGTGCGTCCAAGTATCTTGTATGCTCCGTCAATGTACTGTGCTGTGTCACCTACATTTAAGTTATAGAAAATTGTACTATTGTCTGTTAACGGTTCCAGGGATCACTGTCCCTCACAGCCCAGTCTCAGGTAAGTCCTCTTAAAATAGAAAGGAAATACTACACAAGAGTAAGAAATATTAAGAAACACACAGGAAATTAAAGATAACCTAAGTGTATACCGAATCTAAATACAGTAGAAGATTTTAAGATTTATCTGTCATCTTATCACAATTAATGATAATCTTTTATTTGTATCAAGTGTTTTAATAATGCCTTCCCTAAAATTTCTGCAAGAAGTCACAGACAATATACTTTTTAATTCTTAATCATATTTAAAAATCATCATCTGTTGAAGACCAAAGTCCCACTCAATGCAATAACAATATTTTTTTTCAAAATTTAGTACAGTATCTGATATACCAATAATTAACCATTCTCTTATGGTAACCAAAGAATAACTTAATAAGAAGGGCTAACATATTTGGAATTCCCAAAGTAAATGTGTGGGAGGCTGTGATTAAAAGAATAAGAATGTAAAGGCAGGATATGATAGCAGCAAATGATGTGTACTATAAATAATTGTATGTATGAAACAGTATGTATGTATATACCATATGAATTTGTTATTTTTCTTTTGTAAAACATCTGCTAGTAATCAATATCTGTTCAGCCTCCATTTATAGAAATGTACATAGACTATAAGGCACCAAAGAGACTAAAACTCATTGAAACAATAAGAGGGAAAATTTACTGATTTAATATGTAGTGTTGATTACTACTACTTCTTACCTGTCTTAAACCAAGCATCATGAGTGAACTCCTTGAGGGTTTCCTGAGGTTTCTTCCAGTATTCTTTGAAGACATTTGGCCCACGAACTAGTAACTCTCCAGACTGCAAGAGGAAAAACTGCCTTTAATTGTGAAACTGTGTGATTAATATTGTTATTATAAATATTTACCTTCCTCTGTAAGCCATGCATGTCGTAAGAGGCGACTAAAATGCTGGCAGCAAGGAGATAGTAACCCCTTCTCCTGTATAAATTTCTAAATGTAAAAACTAAAACTTTTGTTTTTGTTTTTAGGTCACCCTGCCTTAGTGGGAGATAGCCAGTACATTAAAAAAAAAATTACTAAGACTTATGATCTTCTTTCTTTCTTTCAACACACCGGCTGTATCCCACCGAGGCAGGGTGGCCCAAAAGAAAAAACCAAAGTTTCTCCTTTCAAATTTAGTAATATATACAGGAGAAGGGGTTACTAGCCCCTTGCTCCCGGCATTTTAGTTGCCTCTTACAACACGCATGGCTTACGGAGGAAGAATTCTGTTCCACTTCCCCATGGAGATAAGAGGAAATAAACAAGAAGAACTAGAAAGAAAATCGAAGAAAACCCAGAGGGGTATGTATATATACGCTTGTACATGTATGTGTAGTGTGACCTGAGTGTAAGTAGAAGTAGCAAGACGTACCTGAAATTTTGCATGTTCATGAGACAGAAAAAAGGACACCAGCAATCCTACCATCATGTAAAACAATTACAGGCTTTCGTGTTACACTCACTTGGCAGGACGGTAGTACCTCCCTGGGCGGTTGCTGTCTACCAACCTACTACCTAGGACTTATGATCTTATACTATATATTATAATCATGGGAAGCACTAAGCCCACTGAGGTTGTACAACACCTGAAGAATGGAAAGGTAGTCATAATTCCTTGGATCAAGAGCCCCTCACTAGTATCATGGTATTCCCCCTTGAGTTTGAAATAATATTAGAGGTCATGATGCACATATAAATTATAAATTTTTTGTTATGGCTGCACTAACTATATTTTAAGCAAATAAAGTACTGAAAAAAAATTTTTGATATAAAGTGACTATTATCATATAAAGCAACCATCAATTCTATTAAGTCCATAAAAGTCCAAAGAAGTAAATAAAAGAATAAAAACAGTAAATAAAGATGTAGTGAATACAGAGATCTGAGTGTACAGCCGTCCCTACAAATTCACAGGCTCTCATATTCATGAAATTCAATTATTTAACTTTTTGGGGTGAAGAGCAACCAGCGAATATCCGTAATTCAATTATCCAACATCTTTCTGACTCAGTGTTTTTCCCATGCCTAAATCTTTTTTTCTAGTCATTATTTTTTAAGAATGTGAATATTAATCAGATATTAGTGACATATTACAGATACGTATATGGTCTCTGAAAGCAAAACTTACCCAATACTGAAATAAAATTTGTTATGCAGACATTATTTTGCATTTTTCACTATTTCTACCTTTGCAGAGCTTCAAGATCTAGCTTTGCAGAACTTCAAGAATTTGTAGGGACAACTGTACATCCAAGCTTTTTGTCTTGTTTATAATTAGTAGACTTTTCTCCTGTTGTAAATGAATAAATCAATATTCTCTATATAATATGAATTTTTCTTTTCCAATTCAAATTACATATACAGTGTATATATAGGAGGGCCCCACTTATACAACTTTTTTGGGCGAAATTTGGGTCCAGATTTCGTACCTCAATCCAGAAATCGTATGGATCATACACATCCGCCCGCGTGGGAACGTCATCAGTCTGGCTCATTTATCTGAAACATTTCACAAGTTTTGTGCTTGTTTATTGATTGCGACTGCGAAATAAGCCACTGAAGAATTGCAAGACCTTCATCTGGAACAGCAACAGACCATAGCTGAGGAAGCTGCTTCAGAGGAGGAGGAAGAGAGAGGGTAGAATCTGCCTTCTTCAGTGATTAAGGACATGTGTGCCAAGTGGAATAAGTTGAAAACTTTTGTTGAAAAATATCACCCTGGCCAAGCTGATACAAGCCGTATCTGCAACATGTTCAGTGACAATACCTTGTCCCATTTTAGGTAAATCTTAAAAGAGACGCCAGAAACAGAGCTCTCTGGACAGATTTTTAGTGCGACAGGGGTCCAGTGCCAGTAAAAGACAAAGAAGGGAAGTAACCCCAGAGAAGGCTTTGATACCTGAAGTTCTTATGGAAGGGGATTCCCCTTCCAAACAATAAACTCTCCTCCCTCTCCTCTCCTCACTGTCTTCCATATGCCAACATTAGTCTTCAATAAAGGTATGTAATGTTCATTTATCAATAAAATTAGTGCCTTATATTCATTTCTCATTGTTTTCTGTACATAAAACTATACGTATAGTTATTCTTTAAAAAATGTATTTTTTGTTAATATTTTTAGGTGTCTGGAATGGATTAACCCGTAAATGGTCCAAACGTATGTATACGTTTTTTCAACATTTGAATGTAAAAAACGTAAATCTTTTTTTTTTTTACATTTGAAAACATGTAAAAAACTGATCTACGTTCAGTGGGAGACGGCCGACTTGTTGAAAAAAAAAAATGTAAAAAAAACGTAGATCTACTTTTGGAGCACTACACATATGAATGTAGATCTGCTTGGACCATTTATGGGTTAATTGTATTTACATTATTTCTTATAGGAAATATTAATACGGTTTTCGTACATTTCGGATTTAGAATGACCTTCTGGAACGGATTAAGTACAAAAACCGGAGTTCCACTGTATATCCTTTTTTTTTCCACTTTCAAGTGTGTATAAAAGCCTTTTAACATGTTTACACCATCATATATTAAGTGAGCTAAAAAGCTAGGCCTAAAAAATGCATATATAGCACACATATTACTTACTTTAAAATATTTTCATCCTCAGCTTATAGCGAATGGTGAATATATTTATCACAGGAAGACGAATAATGAAGAATGGGCATGACTAAAAACTGCTGCATTAGCAAAACACTGTAAAGTAAAGTGTTGTAAAATGGGGCCCTCCTGTATGAGGAAAATACAGTGGACCCCTGCCTTATGAACGCATCGCGTTACGTTAAATCCACCATACGAAGCATTTGAACGCAAAAATTTTGCCTCGCCTCACAATAAAAAACTCGCCTTACGTGATTCGTCCGGGACGCATCCCACGTGTGGTCTCAGCGCCAGTGTTTACAAGCCAGCCAGTGCGGTCTCATCTACACATACAATCAGTACATCTCACATTATCCCAGTGTTTTTAGTGCTTGTAACTGCACAATAAGTCACCATGGACCCCAAGAAAGATTCTAGTGCCATCCCTGTGGTAAAAAGGGCTCTGAGAATTAGTATGGAATTGAAAAAGAGATTAAGGAAATGTGTGCAAAGTGGGTTGAACTGCAAACCTTTACGGATGAAAATCACCCTGACACAGCTACTGCAAGCAGTGTTGGCAACCTGTACAATAACAATTTTATGGCCCATTTTAGGAAAGTCTTAAAGGAACGGGAGGTACAGAGCTCTATGGACAGATTTGTTGTGCGACAGAGGTTCAGTGACTCTCAAGCTGGTCCTAGTGGCATTAAAAGAAGGGAAGTAACCCCTAATGGAAGGGGATTCCCCTTCTAAACAATAACTTCCACACTCTCCCCTCCTCTCATTCCATCATCATCACCAGATCTTCAATAAAGGTAAGTGTCATGTATTCTATTCTTAGTAGAGTAGTAATTGTGCATGTCTTCTTCAGTTTGTGTATTAAAATTAATATTTCATGTGGTAAAAAAATTTTTTTTCATACTTTGGGGTGTCAGGAACCGATTAATTTGATTTCCATTATTTCTTATGGGGAAAATTAATTCGGCTAACGATAATTTCGGCTTACGATGAGCTCTCAGGAACGGATTAATATCCTAAGGCGGGGGTCCACTGTAATGTTAAAGTGTTACTTACCTCTGTACTATTACCTTCTGACATAACCTCAGTTCCCTGAGTGTTTCCACAGCATAACACTTCATATTTCTCACTGCCAGGTAGAAATTTACCAATACACACCTCAACACTAGGCAGTGGATTCCCAACAAATCCTGGAAGACAAACACATATATACTGAATAAAAAATATAAGTAACAATACTGTAATTGGAATAATTCACAGCCAACACGCAAACTGAAGAAATTTTTTTTAGATATTTTGGTCCCTCCTGAACCACTGTTAAGTCCAATTCATGGGTTAGCTGTATAAATATACTCAAGCCTATTTTTTACTATCAGTAAATATGATAAGTGATGCAATATAAAGTAGCAAAAGCCAAAAGAATAATAAAAGTTTTTCTTCACAGAGTGGTAAGACAATGGACTACCAACCCTACTTCCCTCTTTCTTCCTCGTCTCTTTATCCCATCCCTGCCCCCTTATTGTATATATACACTGGCTCCCTTACCTTTGTGTTAGTGTGTGACTAGTTAATGGTCCAAGTCGAACCAAAACATTGTCACAAGTTTCTTTCTCCTATGTGTGGGTTATTTGTGTATTGGACTGGTTTGCATGAGGATGGAGTAGGTGCTACAACCACTGGAGACTCAAAAAAAAATTGCAAGAGACTAAATACTAGTGACGAGACAGTGAGCTAAGCTATGCTCCTGTAGCAACAAACAAGTAATCTTCACTGTATCCAAGCAAATAAAATTTGATGGCATTCTGATGGCAATAGAAACTGTAAAGATTAACCAAAAAAAGTCTATATGGGAGCTGAAGAACAGTATAAAGTGTCTCGGAGGATACTAACTTTGATAAGCAGCTAGAGTAATACAGTGGAACATTGGTACTCAAACAGCTCCCTACTCAAACAAAGCTCAGCACTCAACCAAACAAATATGACCTGCCAGAGCTTTGCTGTAAACTATTTTGTGTTTCTTCACATTTTTTGGTGCTTTTTTTATATTATTTGTATAAATAAGTCACCATGGGGCCTACGAAGATTAGTGATAACAACCAACCAAAAAGAAAATTGGTTGGGAAGAATTTGTTCGATACTCGAACGGATCGGTACTCAAACAACCTTCTAGGACATAACATAAGAAAGAAGGAACACTGCAACAAGCCTACTGACCCATGTGGAGCAGGTCCATGTCCCCCCCCCCCCCCGGATTAGCCCAATGACCCACCCAGTCTAGTCGTCTCCACTCACGGATGGAGCACTGCACCAGACCCAGCAGCACAAGCTAGTCAGGTCCAACTCACACCCACCCACACCCACTCATGTATTTATCTAACCTATTTTTAAAACTACACGTTTTAGCCTGAATAACTGTACTCGGGAGTTTGTTCCACTCATCCACAACTCTATTACCAAACCAGTGCTTTCCTATATCCTTCCTGAATCTGAGTTTTTCCAACTTGAAACCATTGCTGCGAGTCCTGTCTTGGCTGGAAATTTTCAGCACGCTATTTACATCCCCTTTATTTATTCCTGTTTTCCATTTATACACCTCGATCATTATTTATTTATTTATTTATTATCACTGGCCGATTCCCACCAAGGCAGGGTGGCCCAAAAAAGAAAAACTTTCACCATCATTCACTCCATCACTGTCTTGCCAGAAGGGTGCTTTACACTACAGTTTTTAAACTGCAACATTAACACGCCTCCTTCAGAGTGCAGGCACTGTACTTCCCATCTCCAGGACTCAAGTCTGGCCTGCCGGTTTCCCTGAACCCCTTCATAAATGTTACTTTGCTCACACTCCAACAGCACGTCAAGTATTAAAAACCATTTGTCTCTATTCACTCCTATCAAACACGCTCACGCATGCCTGCTGGAAGTCCAAGCCCCTCGCACACAGAACCTTTACCCCCTCCCTCCAACCTTTCCTAGGCCGACCCCTACCCTGCCTTCCTTCCACTACAGACTGATACACTCTTGAAGTCATTCTGTTTCGCTCCATTCTCTCTACATGTCCGAACCACCTCAACAACCCTTCCTCAGCCCTCTGGACAACAGTTTTGGTAATCCCGCACCTCCTCCTAACTTCCAAACTACGAATTCTCTGCATTATATTCACACCACACATTGCCCTCAGACATGACATCTCCACTGCCTCCAGCCTTCTCCTCGCTGCAACATTCATCACCCATACTTCACACCCATATAAGAGCGTTGGTAAAACTATACTCTCATACATTCCCCTCTTTGCCTCCAAGGAAAAAGTTCTTTGTCTCCACAGACTCCTAAGTGCACCACTCACCCTTTTCCCCTCATCAATTCTATGATTCACCTCATCTTTCATAGACCCATCCGCTGACACGTCCACTCCCAAATATCTGAATACATTCACCTCCTCCATACTCTCTCCCTCCAATCTGATATCCAATCTTTCATCACCCCCTTAATTCTACGCCTTTCGAGAAAGTGCAGATTCAGGGCCCTCAGTCTATCCTCATAGGGAAGATTTCTGATACATGGGATCATCTTTGTCATCCTCCTCTGCACGTTTTCCAGAGCATTTATATCCATTCTGTAATACGGTGACCAGAACTGAGCAGCATAGTCTAAATGAGGCCTAACCAAGGATATATAGAGTTGAAGAACAACGTGAGGACTTCTATTATTTATACTTCTAGATATGAAGCCAAGAATTCTGTTAGCTTTACTGCAAACACTAATGCACTGTCTTGGCTTTAGATTACTGCTAACCAGAACTCCTAAATCCTATGCGCAATCAGTAGTATTAAGATCTACATTATTTAGTTTATATGTGGCATGGTTATTTAACTGTCCAACAATTAGAACTTTGCATTTGTCAATATTAAACTGCATCTGCCACTTCTCTGACCATTGCATCAGTCTATTCAAATCATCCTGGAGTGCTCTAGTGTCCTCATTAGAATGAATTGGATGGCCTATTTTGGTGTCATCAGCAAATTTGCTTATGTTGCTATTTATTCCCTCATCTATGTCGTTTATGTAAATTGTAAACAACAACGGGCCCAACACTGACCCCTGAGGAACACCGCTTGTGAAGTGCCCCCATTCTGATTTCTCCCCATTTATGCAAACTCTCTGATGTCTATTTGTCAGCCATGCCTCTACCCAGGAAAAAATTTCTCCTATTCCGTGTGCCTTAAGTTTCCTCAATAGCCTCTGGTGTGGAACTCTATCGAAAGCCTTACTGAAGTCCATATACACAATATCATATTCATTCCCATGATCTACCTCCTCAAACACCTTAGTGAAAAAAGTTAGTAAATTCATAAGACAAGAACACCCCTTTGTAAAACAGTGTTGAAATTCATTAATCAATCTGTGCCTGTCAAGATGGCTACGAATTGCTAGAATGAATTAACCCTTTGACTGTTTCAGTTGTATATATATATACGTTTTACAAACCACCGTGTTTGACGTATATAAATTCAAAAATTCTAGCGGCTTCAAATCAAGCAGGAGAAAGCTGGTAGGACCACATGTGAGAGAATGGGTCTGTGTGGTCAGTGTGCACCATATAAAAATAATTCTGCAGCACGCAGTGCATAATGAGAAAAAAAAACTCCAACCATGTTTTTGGATTAAAATGCTGACTTTGTGGTGTATTTTCGTATAGTATTTATGGTTGTATTCTCATTTTCTTGGTCTCATTTGATAGAATAGAAAACATATTATAGAAATAAATATGATTTTGTTTGGTTTTACTATGAAAAGGACCTTGAAATGGAGCTCAAAGTAGGGGAAATGTTTGATTTTTGCTGATGTTCAAAAGTAAACAAATGATGTCATTGTCCAATAAATGTCCAACTAGCCATTCTAATATGCAGTCATGAACGTGTTGACATTACTTATACAATTATTACAATATTGCAGTAGTCTGCAAAACAGTAAATCTTCTATTTCTTGTTTGAACAAAAATTCAAAATAGAAAGCAAGAGTAATATCAGAGGGGCCTGGAGATGTGACTGATGAACAAAGGAAATGTTATTTTAGAGCCAGGAATGTCTGCATTGTTCATTCTGGACCCTATTTTGAAATTGGCATATTTTTTAATTTGCATAAAATTGGCCAAATTGCTAATTTCTGACCACTTTATTGGATAGTTGAAATCGGTAAATGGGCAATTTCTTGTACTCAATCGATAGAACAAATGGAGTTCTAAAGATATAGTTATGAGTTTGGTCGATTGGAACAATGGAATTAGCTGAAAATAGGGCTCTAAATGGGCAAAATCGCAGATTCATAAATATCCCCGAGGTTGCGAACTTCGCGAAAGCGTAATTCCATAAGTTTTCCATCAAATTTCGTACTTTTGGTGTCATTACCACCAGGAAAAAATTCTCTATCATTTCACAAAAAAAATAATTTTTTTTTTTTTCAAATATTTTGCGACACCAGGAGACACCTCAGGATTTGGGGTTTCAACAGTCAAAGGGTTAAGTTCAAGTACCAAGGTTCCACTGTACAGTGGACCCCCGGTTAACGATATTTTTTCACTCCAGAAGTATGTTCAGGTGCCAGTACTGACCGAATTTGTTCCCATAAGGAATATTGTGAAGTAGATTAGTCCATTTCAGACCCCCAAACATACACGTACAAACGCACTTACATAAATACACTTACATAATTGGTCGCATTCGGAGGTGATCGTTATGCGGGGGTCCACTGTATTAGTATCAGAGAATTATTATATAAATGCACAGGGAAGTGCTAAATCCATAGGGACCATACAGAACCTGGGGAATGGGAAGCAATTAGGTTTGATCTGAGGAAGAGTAGCTGAAATTCCCTGAATCAAAAGCCCTTCACCAGAATCCCTACTGAAAGTTTTCGTACCTGGTTTACGAATGCCTTTCAGGGGATTGGAAAGAGCCATGCCGATTTCAGTCATACCATATCGCTCCAAAAGAATATGTCCTGTAATCTGGTGCCAACGTTCCAAGATCGGCTCTGGTAATGCTGCTGAACCACTCACCATAAGTCTATAAATATGATTCTAAATAATTTATAGAGAAGTATCATTCGCCTTCATATAATACAGTATATAACAGTATATGGAGAGTGAACAGGGTAATATTTTGTGAAGGGATTCAGGGAAACTGGTTAGCCAAACTTGAGTCCTGGAAATGGGAAGTACAATGCCTGCACTTTAAAGGAGGGGTTTAGGATATTGGCAGTTTGGAGGGACATCTAAATTGTCATATCTGAGCACCTCTGCAAAGACAGTGATTATGTATGAGTGATGGTAAAAGTGTTGAACGATGAAAGTTTTTTCTTTCTCTTTGGGTCACCTTGCGTCGGTGGGAAATGGCTGACATGTTAAAAAAATAATAATAATAATAGTAATGATAACAACAGCTATTTGGAGTGACATTTGAACTTTTACATCTGGGCACCTCTGCAAAGACAGTGATTATGTGTGAATGATGGTGAAAGTGTTGAATGATGGTGAAAGTGTTGAATGATGGTGAAAGTGTTTCTTTCTATTTTGGGTCACCCTGCCTTGGTGGGAAACGGCCGACATGTTGAAAAAAAAAAGCATTTCAATTTACTTTTATTTCATTTTATTCAGGGAAGCACTAAACCTGTAGGGATCATATAGCACCTGGAGAATGGGAGACAATCAGGTTCAATTGAAGGAAGGGAAGCTAAAGTCCAGTTCCTTGATTCAAGAGTGCTTCACCAACATCAGGGCACTTATTTCCCTTGAGAGGTTAAATTTATAAAGAATCTACTGCCATGCCCAAACAGCTTTGGATCTTCTATCTACTATTTAGTGACTATTTAATTATTTGCCAAGGCTATAACAAATATTTTTTTTTTTTTTTTTCAACAAGTCGGCCGTCTCCCACCGAGGCAGGGTGACCCAAAAAAGAAAGAAAATCCCCAAAAAGAAAATACTTTCACCATCATTCAACACTTTCACCACACTCGCACATTATCACTGTTTTTGCAGAGGTTCTCAGAATACAACAGTCTAGAAGCATACACATATAAAGATACACAACATATCCCTCCAAACTGCCAATATATTATCTGTAAAGTAAAAGGACACAAGTGCAACTAATGTGACATTTTATTGTGGCAACGTTTCGCTCTCCAGGAGCTTTATCAAGCCATTACGAACAATACATGGACACAGAGGGTGTATATAGGCTCAGAGTGAGGTGCAATACTAGTGGTACAACACCGAAATTCCACCAGTCATCTCATGAAATTCAGGGATGCCCAATTAGTGATCAAAGAAACTAATTTCCGCAGATGTAAGTGCCTCGAATCAGTACTGATCGCTGTTTCGAATACAATTAAACAAAACAACGGCAGCTTCACCATCTCTGAAGTCTTAGCAAGAATCCTCCTGAAAACAGTAAACCCTGCCATCACACAGTCTCTCCTGTTATACTACACAAAGCACATTACAGAGAGTGAACACTGAAACAGGCTGCCTCTATCCAGTCTATATTTGTCCAACCTATTTTTATGTTACCCAAGTAATAACTTTTATATCCTTTTACTCATGTACGAATTAATTGCTCTACCATATTGCATTACTACTACTACTACTACTTATGTCACTACTACTCCTACTACTACTACCACTAGTATTGTACCTCACTCTGAGCCTATATACACCCTCTGTGTCCATGTATTGTTTGTAATGGCTTGATAAAGCTCCTGGAGAGCGAAACGTTACCACGATAAAATGTCACATTAGTTGCACTTGTGTCCTTTTGCTTTACATATTGTCAGTAATTCTACCAACTTTATTACAAATATATTATCTGTCCATTATCATCAAAGAAAAATTAATTTTTTTTATTCAACACACTGGCCATCTCCCACTGAGGAAAGGTGACCCAAAAAATAAACACTTTCACCATCATTCACACTATCACTGTCTTGCCAAAAGTGCGAAGATACAACAGTTTAGTTGTCACTCTAAACAGCAAATATCGCAAATGCCTCCTTCAGAGTGCAGGCACTGTACTTCCCACCTCCGAGACTCAAGTCTGGCTAACTGGTTTCCCTGAATTCCTTCATAAAATATTACCCTGATACATATTTATTTAAACTGACTCACTTCATCTTTAATTGCATTTAAAGTGTAAGGTGGTGAGGGCCATAAATTTGCTTTAAGGTTATCTTTGTGTTATTTTTCCAAAATACTGAATACACTCTGAGACAGATCAAGCAGGGAAAAGCATGTTAAGAAATCAATTTGCCAACATATACCACACAGTATGTTCTCTGAGTTTATATTATTGCTCTCTTATCTCTCTCTTCTTATTATATTTTTTGTTACTTGCAACTTATTTTAACAGGCCACTGGTCTTACTTTTTAACAAGGCCATTTTAAAGGTCTGTAGCAAAGTAATGTACCACACAATTAACCATATACATGTATTATTGGAATTTGCAAATGAAGCCAGTAAGAGTGCTGGATATATGTGATGGGTTGCACTCTCAACATACTGGATTTCTGAAAAGGAAAGACTACTGCAGTTTCCAACCAAAGGAGAAAAATATAGCCTCTCCTTACTTAGCGACATACTTTTTTACCTACAACTCTGGCTTACAATGGGCTCTCTGACCAATGTGCATATCTAAATAATGTATATTAGAGCTGATTTCTTCTATTCTGTTGAGGTGGTTCAGACATGTAGAGAGAATGGAGTGAAACAGAATGGCTTCAAGAGTGTATCAATCTGTAGTGGAAGGAAGGCAGGGTAGGGGTCAGCCTAAGAAAGGTTGGAGGGAGGGGGTAAAGGAGGTTTTGTGTGCGAGGGGCTTGGACTTCCAGCAGGCATGCGTGAGCATGTTTGATAGGAGTGAATGGAGACAAATGGTTTTAAATACTTGAAGTGCTGTTGGAGTGTGAGCAAAGTAACATTTATGAAGGGATTCAGGGAAACCGGCAGGCCGGACTTGAGTCCTGGAGATGGGAAGTACAGTGCCTGCACTCTGAAGGAGGGGTGTTAATGTTGCAGTTTAAATTAATGCTCATAGTATTATAGCAAGTGTGAGGTAAATTGACATTACGTATTTAGAAAAACAAAAAGAATCCCATAACTGCCACATGAACTAAAATTCACAAATTAAAAATGGAGAGCGTAGATCTCAAAGTTTATGTAGGTACTCCCTTTTTTTACTAGAAATGAACAAATGCTAGCAATCTTTCATAAATTAAAGTAAGCTCTTAATTAAGACTCACCTGATATTTTGTGTGCATACAGATTTTATGTATTCCTTCATTCGTGTATTTTTTATCAATTTAGTATCATACTCTTCAATAAGTTTGGCATATATTGTTGGCACTGCCATAAAGAGGTTGACACGTGACTGGATGGGAGTATCGAGTGCCAGAAGCTTGCTCCACACTGCGGAAGCTACAAAATGTGTCAACATCACAATCCTGAAAGATAATGAGTTATTATATCCATGGAAAGCACTAAATCCACATGGGCCATTTTGCACTGCATGGTAAAGGTGAGGGAAATGGTAGAAGGAAAGAGGTAGAAGTGTTGATTTAACTGTGATTTACCACTGACCTGTTTTGAGAGTTTTCCTACTCTCGTGGCCCAGCCCTGGGCCAGGCCTCCCTGTTGAGGAAAGGACAAGGACAAAAGGAGAGAGTCTATCTCCATAAAAGATCAGTATCAGTCAATAAATCAAAGAGAGAATATGCACTAAAGGAGGACTGTCTGAGAGGAGTAAGAATGCCAGGACCTTGGAAAGGTCCAAACTTAAACTAATGTGTTCCACGATTAATGGGACAATTATACATGCGCAATTAATCAAAAAATGTTGGACTGTCAGCACGTCCTGAAAATTCCAGCAGAGTTGTAATAGTAATATTTTATTTCAGCATAATACAATATTTCTACAAAGGTGAATGACATTTGGGTGTACATGCAGAAAGCCCCTATATATGCAAAGCATTTCTGCACGATGATCCCTTCCTGAGATGACCATGTGTGATTCTGGTTTGACTATTATTCAGTCTCAAAAGTATTTTCTCACAACTAACAGCAATAAAGGGAGGACATCCAGAAAGACAAGTGTGTGCTTGTCGGTGGTGTTGGTGCTGGGTGTTTTCAGGGCCACCACAGCCTACTTCTCAGGAGTCCACTATTTTTTTTAACATATCAGCAAACTCCTACTGAGGTAGGATGATCCTCTCTCCCCAAAATAAAGAGAGTTAGCATGTCTACTGTTCACTCCAAGAAAAATATATTCCCCAAATCTGGGCAGGAACTGGAAAGGAAACAAAGTTTACTCCAAAAACAAAAATGGGAATGTATTCCCAATTAGGTCAGAGCCAGATGCCAAAACCCTTACCCCCCCTACTGCCACTGCTAACACTAACACACTAACACACACACACACTAACACACACACTAACACACACACACACACACACACACACACACACACACACCACACACACACACACACACACACACACACACACACAGAGGTTTGTACCCAAGGGTAACAGGAATAATGAAAAAGCCAGGATGAATCCATGGTTCACTCAAAGATGCAAGGAGGCAAAAACCAAGTGTGCAAGGGAATGGAAGAAATATAGAAGGCAAAGGACCCAGGAGAATAAGAAGAGCAGTCATAGAGCCAGAAACGAATATGCACAGATAAGAAGGGAGGCCAAACGTCAATATGAAAACGACATAGCAGCAAAAGCCAAATCTGACCCGAAGCTGTTATACAGCCACATCAGGAAGAAAACAACCGTCAAAGACCAGGTAATCAGGCTAAGGAAGGAAGGAGGAGAGACAACAAGAAATGACAGTGAAGTATGTGAGGAACTCAACAAGAGATTCAAAGAAGTGTTCACAGAGGAGACAGAAGGGGCTCCAGAAAGACGGAGAGGTGGGGTACACCACCATGTGCTGGACACAGTACACACAACTGAGGAAGAAGTGAAGAGGCTTCTGAGTGAGCTAGATACCTCAAAGGCAATGGGCCAGATAACATCTCTCCATGGGTCCTGAGAGAGGGAGCAGAGGCGCTATGTGTACCCCTAACAACAATATTCAATACATCTATCGAAACAGGGAGATTGCCTGAGGCATGGAAGACAGCAAATGTGGTACCAATCTTTAAAAAAGGAGACAGACATGAAGCACTAAACTACAGACCAGTGTCACTGACATGTATAGCATGCAAAATCATGGAAAAGATTGTCAGGAGAAGAATGGTGGAACATCTAGAAAGGAATGATCTCATCACCAGCAGACAACATGGTTTCAGAGACGGGAAATCCTGTGTCACAAACCTACTGGAGTTCTATGACATGGTGACAGCAGTAAGAGAAGAGAGAGAGGGGTGGGTGGATTGCATTTTCTTAGACTGCAAGAAGGCGTTTGACACAGTACCACACAAGAGATTAGTGCAAAAACTGGAGGACCAAGCAGGAATAACAGGGAAGGCACTGCAATGGATCAGGGAATACTTGTCAGGAAGACAGCAGAGAGTAATGGTACGAGGCGAGGTGTCAGAGTGGGCACCTGTGACCAGTGGGGTCCCACAGGGGTCAGTCCTAGGACCAGTGCTGTTTCTGGTATTTGTGAACGACATGACGGAAGGAATAAACTCCGAGGTGTCACTGTTTGCAGATGACGTGAAGTTGACGAGAAGAGTTCATTCGATCGAAGACCAGGCAGAAATACAAAGGGATCTGGACAGGCTGCAGACCTGGTCCAGCAACTGGCTCCTGGAGTTCAATCCCACCAAGTGCAAAGTCATGAGGATTGGGGAAGGGCAAAGAAGACCGCAGATGGAGTACAGTCTAGGGGGTCAGAGACAACAAACATCACTCAAGGAAAAAGATCTTGGGGTGAGTATAACACCAGGCACATCTCCTGAAGTGCACATCAACCAAATAACTGCTGCAGCATATGGGCGCCTGGCAAACCTCAGAACAGCATTCCGACATCTTAATAAGGAATCGTTCAGGACCCTATACACCATGTACGTTAGGCCCATATTGGAGTATGCGGCACCAGTTTGGAACCCACACCTAGCCAAGCATGTAAAGAAACTAGAGAAAGTGCAAAGGTTTGCAACAAGACTAGTCCCAGAGCTAAGAGGTATGTCCTATGAGGAGAGGTTAAGGGAAATCAACCTGACGACACTGGAGGACAGGAGAGATAGGGGGGACATGATAACGACTTACAAAATACTGAGAGGAATTGACAAGGTGGACAAAGACAGGATGTTCCAGAGATTGGACACAGTAACAAGGGGACACAGTTGGAAGTTGAAGACACAGATGAATCAAAGGGATGTTAGGAAGTATTTCTTCAGCCACAGAGTAGTCAGGAAGTGGAATAGTTTGGGAAGCGATGTAGTGGAGTCAGGATCCATACATAGCTTTAAGCAGAGGTACGATAAAGCTCATGGTTCAGGGAGAGTGACCTAGTAGCGACCAGTGAAGAGGCGGGGCCAGGAGCTTGGACTCGACCCCTGCAACCTCAACTAGGTGAGTACAACTAGGTGAGTACACACACACGCACACACACACACACACACACGCACACACACACACACGCACACACACACACACGCGCGCGCGTGGGTCCGTGGGGTGCAGACGTGGATAACAAGGCTCCGAGAACCTTAGCGTTGTAAGGCGTGCAATAACAGCTAGGAGTAATCAGTGGTAGTGGAACGTCAGTGAACAATACTACGAGTGATAATTAAAGTTATTAGTTAAAGAAAGTGAGAGGAAAGCTGAAATAATAATATTTCAAAGCGCAAACTGTTGGGGGTATTAGGCGCTGTTGCCACATTGGCAGCGGTAGGCCTGAAGAAGTGACGTCACGACAAGTTGTGTGCCATTATACATATAAAGTGAAGTGTATATAATGTGAAGTGTATACTATCATCAGTGAAGAGTGAAATCGCATGAGGAAGCGGGATGTATGAGAATACGTATATGGTTATAAACATCACGGGTGAAGGATTTCCAAAATAGGGATTTAAGGCCTACGTACGGCGACTCCGTCATCAGCAACTGGCAACTGTCACCGCACCATTGCAGCGCAAGTTTATTCGTCTATTTGTGGTTTGCATGTTGACGGCCCTGGCTGGCCTTGCATACTGTTTGATACTGGTCACTCACTCCTGCAAGCTATTACCAGAATTAGAATAGAAATAGCATAGACATAGTGAATATAGTGTTGACAAGTGTGAGAAGGTAGTTGGGACAAGCTTTTAAGGGCAACATTGTAAGACGGTGCTAGGGTCAAGTCCCAGGAGGGTTGTGTCAGGTCACAAGAAGTTGCGGCCAGTCATTACACCGCACAAGACACTCACACACACACACATGCACAAACGCACACAGGCAGTGTTACTACTGGTAGTTATTAGCAGTAAGAATACTTAGGAAGCTAGGAAGTCCTCTCTCAATGTGAACAAGGAAAATGATAATAATCAGCAACAATTAATAAGTAAATCCAGAAAGGGCAATAAGTGGAGAGAGTAGCATAATTGGGAAAGATAAATGAGACTAAATTTGTGCCTACACGACGGATCTTTCAACCACACCACCTACCCCCCCTAACCCTCCCTCACTCACACACAAGCACATACACACAAGGGTAGACACTCACACACTCACTCACACACACACCACACACACACACACACACACACACACACACACACACACATACACACACACGCGATCAGTGAAGAGGCGGGGCCAGGAGCTGAGTCTCGACCCCTGCAACCACAATTAGGTGAGTACAATTAGGCGAGTACACATATATATACACACACACACATACATAAACACATACACACACACACACACAAACACACACACACACACACACACACACATATACACACACACACACCACACACACACCACACACACACACACCACACACACACACACCACACACACACACCACACACACACACACCACACATACACACCCCCCCACACACACACGCACCCCACACACACACACACCACACACACACCACACACACCACACACACACACCACACACACACACCACACACACACACCACACACACACACACCACACACCACACACCACACACACACACACACACACACACCACACACACACACACACACACACACACACACACACACACACACACACACACACACCCTCCACCACTTGACACAAACACTTGACACAAACACGTAACCCCTCCCCTAACCACCTCTCCCCCTTCCCTAACCACCTCACCTTAGCCACCTACCCTCCCCAAACCACCTAACCCCTCCCCAAACCATCTAACCCCCCAACTACCTCCCTCCCACCAATAACCATCCTCCCCCTCCCCATAACCATCCATCCCCTCTCTCCCTCAAACCATCTAACCCCCTCCCCCAACTATCTCTACCCCTCCAATAACCATCCTCCCCCCCCCCACAACCATCCATCCCCTCTCCTCCTAACCATCTATTCCCCTCCCCTAACCACCCATCCCCCCTTCTGTGGAGCAACGGGGGAACCTAGAACCAGGATGAGGACAAGGGGCTCCAAGGACGAATCTGGGAGGGAGGAATGGGAGGTAGAGCTCAAAAAATGGGAGGAAGACTGGGGAAGGAGACTAGATGAGCTGGAAAGGAAGATGGAAGAGAGGTTAGCAGCAGAATGCAGAAGGTGGAAGCAACAGGCCACAGCAGCAGAAATCAAGATAGAGAGATTAGAAGAGGAGCTGAGACATCTGAAACAGCACAGAGACAAAGATATTACAGAAGTAGCATTGGCAATGGCTATATCAAACACAGACAACAGGTCTGAAGGAAGCATGGAAACTAAACTGTATGCAGAGGTCCTGTCAAACCCACATGGGGCCAAAACAAGAAGTTAGAGAAAGTACAAAGGTTTGCAACAAGGCTAGTCCCAGAGCTCAAGGGAATGTCGTACGAGGAAAGGTTAAGGGAAATCGGACTGATGACACTGGAGGACAGAAGGGTCAGGGGAGACATGATAATGACATACAAGATACTGCGGGGAATAGACAAGGTGGACAAAGATAGGATGTTCCAGAGAGGGGACACAGGGACAAGGGGTCACAACTGGAAGCTGAAGACTCAGACGAGTCACAGGGACGTTAGGAAGTATTTCTTCAGTCATAGAGTTGTCAGCAAGTGGAATAGCCTAGTGGAGGCAGGAACCATACATAGTTTTAAGAAGAGGTATGGCAAAGCTCAGGAAGCAGAGAGAGAGAGGACCCAGTAGCGATCAGTGAAGAGGCGGGGCCAGGAGCTGAGTCTTGACCCCTGCAACCACAATTAGGTGAGTACAATTAGGTGAGTACACACACACACACACAGGACCAATGCTATTTTTGGTATATGTGAACGACATGATGGAAGGGTTAGACTCAGAAGTGTCCTTGTTTGCAGATGATGTGAAGTTAATGAGGAGAATTAAATCTGATGAGGACCAGGCAGGACTTCAAAGAGACCTGGACAGACTGGACACCTGGTCCAGCAAATGGCTTCTCGAATTTAATCCTGCCAAATGCAAAGTCATGAAGATAGGGGAAGGGCACAGAAGACCACAGACTGAGTATAGGCTAGGTGGCCAAAGACTGCAAACCTCACTCAAGGAGAAAGATCTTGGGGTGAGTATAACACCGAGCATGTCTCCGGAAGCACACATCAACCAGATAACTGCTGCAGCATATGGGCGCCTGGCAAACCTGAGAACAGCATTCCGATACCTTAGTAAGGAATCGTTCAAGACACTGTACACCGTGTATGTCAGGCCCATACTGGAGTATGCAGCACCTGTTTGGAACCCGCACTTGATAAAGCACGTCAAGAAACTAGAGAAAGTACAAAGGTTTGCGACAAGGTTAGTTCCAGAGCTAAGGGGAATGTCCTATGAAGAAAGATTAAGGGAAATCGGCCTGACGACACTGGAGGACAGGAGGGTCAGGGGAGACATGATAACGACATATAAAATACTGCGTGGAATAGACAAGGTGGACAAAGACAGGATGTTCCAGGGAGGGGACACAGAAACAAGAGGCCACAATTGGAAGTTGAAGACATAAATGAGTCAGAGAGATATTAGGAAGTATTTCTTCAGTCATAGAGTTGTAAGGCAGTGGAATAGCCTAGAAAATGACGTAGTGGAGGCAGGAACCATACACAGTTTTAAGACGAGGTTTGATAAAGCTCATGGAGCGGGGAGAGAGAGGGCCCAGTAGCAACCGGTGAAGAGGCGGGGCCAGGAGCTAAGACTCGACCCCTGCAACCACAAATAGGTGAGTACAAATAGGTGAGTACACACACACACACACACACACACACAAAACCATGTTTGATGAGAACAGGCGTCCCGGAAGATCAAGATTCCACAAGGAAGAACCAAAGAGTTCATTGGTAATGAATAACAACAAAGAAATGTTGGGTACACACCCTTGTGGAGCTATTTTATTTTGAACAAAGTTGGGGAAAATGATACTAATAACACACTACACAAATGTATTTACACAAAAATTTAAGAAAAAGTGGGAGCAGGCCTGAAGACTAGAAGAATTGACATAGGCCAAGATGCGATATTAATAATAATAAAATAATAATCTTTATTTCTACAAGTACAGACATAACAAGTATGTCATTCAGTAAAGACATTTATGATGTTTGTATCTATATGGAGTAAAAGATCTGTGGTGCAATTAAGATGTTTCTATCTTTGTGGAGCAATGGATCCGTGGTGGAATGGCCCCCAGCTGTATAAAGACAAAATCTATGCAAGTCTCTTGGTACTATCCAGTCCAGCAATTTGCAAATGGAACTGGAAAGACCAAGGAGATAGGTCACATTCTGATATACTCATTTTTGTTCTCATGAAAATGTTTTAAAACTTTCATACTAATATTAAGGATAAACTCCAAACTGTTTGATGCAAGTTAATCAGATGGCAAAATGTGCATTGAAATGCTTAATGTATAAAGTAGATGAATTAATATTCATCTACTTAACCCTTTGACTGTTTACACCGTATAAATACATCTTACGCGCCACTGTTCCTGACGTATATATACTCAATAATTCTAGCGGCTTCAAATCAAGCGGAAGAAAGCTGGTAGGCCCACATGTGAGAGAATGGGTCTGTGTGGTCAGTGTGCACCACATAAAAAAATCCTGCAGCACACAGTGCGTAATGAGAAAAAAAAACTCTGATCGTTTTTTGGATTAAAACGCAGACTTTGAGGTGTATTTTCATATAGTATTTATCGATGTATTTGCGTTTTCATGGTCTTAGGTGATAAAATGGAAAACATATTACAGAAATAGAGATGATTTTCATTACTTTGACGATGAAAACGACCTTGAAACTGAGCTCAAAGTAGCGGAAATGTTCGATTTTTACCAATGTTCAGGAGTAAACAAATCACACCACACGTCCAACACACGCCAACTGGGGAGTCTAATATTCTTTCACTAGTGCACTGATATTATTTATACCATTTTTACAATAATGCAGTAGTCTGCATAACAGTAAATTTTGTATTTTTTTGTATGAATAAGAAATCAAAATAGAAAGCAATAATAATATAAGAGGGGCCTAGAGATGTGACTAATGAACAGAGGATATGTTATTTTAGTGCCAAGAATGTCTACCTTGTTTATTCTGGACCCTATTTTGAAACTGGCATCTTTTTTAGTTTGCGTGAAATTGGCCAAATTGCCAATTTCTGACCACCATATTGGGTAGTCCAAATTGGTAAATGGGAGGTTTCTTGTACTCAGCTGATAGATAAAATGGAGTTCTAAAGAAATAGCTATGAGTTTGGTCAACTGGAACAACGGAATTGGCTGAAAATAGGGCTCAAAGTCGGCGAAATCGCTGATACGCATATGTCGCCGAGACCGCTAACTTCGCGGGAGCGTAATTCCATGAGTTTTCGACCAAATTTCGAACTTTTGGTGTCATTATCATCGGGAAAAGATTCTCTATCATTTCATAAGAAAAAATAATTTTTTTTTTCAAAAATTTATCGACATAGAATGACAGTTTCAGAAAGGGGCCTGAAACAGTCAAAGAGTTAAGAAGATGAGTACTGTCTTGTATAGACAAACAAGTTGAGTAAGTTGTCCTTTAACTTCCTGTTTATGCCACTCAGTTATATACTATATAATAATGATGCCATAATAAAGTACGTACACTGAAAATGCATGTTATTAGAATAGGTTAAAAGTTCATTCATTTTTTAATACAAAGCATATACTGTAGTTAAATTAAAAAAATCCAATCTATTAAAAATTATAAATTAAACAGCATGCTTTAATTAAAACAGTATATGTAAATTTTATCATAATTCATAAACATAGACATAAGAGCACCAATAAAACAAATTATAACAGATAAAAATTTCTAACACGGACACATTAGAATCAGCAAGTAAGGTTACATCTCTCAGTGTATATATACTGAAAGCTGACTTTAATCCCTAAAAAAGGGATTAAAGTGTCCTTGACTAGTAGTGAACAGGTTTCATGCAGCATTAATGCCCTCCAAGTAGTTGATAACTTTAAACTCAAGTAATGTTAACTAACAGGCAAGCTAGCAGTCACTGCTACCATGGCCGACTGTAGTTCCAGCAGCTGCCTCACTTTCACTCATGTTCTCAGCCATCACTGTTTTGCAGAGATACCAGCACAGGACCAGCCCCATTGAACAGCTCATCTTATGACAAAGACCTATGCCAGGTGATTTTTCTTCTGATGAATAAATCCACAACATTAGAATGCTATACCTGGCACCAACATAGAGTGGAGAAAGAAGAGCATTAATAATGCCATGTGTATGGTGGAGAGGTAGACAGTGGAGGATGGTATCACCAGAAGTCCAGTCCCAAGCCTGAAGAAGACAACTCATTTGTGATAATACGTTGTTGTGAGTCAGGACCACACCTGTGGAGAAGAATGAAGTTCAGCTATTTTTACCTGCAACAACTTCCAAATTAGATTTCTTACTAGTTTTCTTTGTATACTATTAACTAGTGCTGCTTATGTAAACATTATATATAAGTAGAAATCCCAATATTTTATATCCAAACCTTATTACTGTGTCAAGAAAAAGAACAAAAAGGCACAATACCATGAATGGAACAATACACAAATAACCTGCAAATAGGAGAGAGAAGTTTTTGATGACATTTTGGTCCAGAGCGGACCATTTACAAGTCCCACTGAAACATCATCATAGGCTTCACTCTCCTATGCGTGGGTTATTTGTGTACATCTGTCAAGATTTTATGCATAAAATTTTTTACTTCTGGTTTGCTCTTACCTTTAGGGCGGCCAGTAGTGCCACTCGTGTAGATAATTAATGCATCACTGACAGAGTAGAACTCGTTCTCTTTACCATACTCCACCTGGTGATTATCAGCCATGGTAATGTTTGACTCTGGCATAATCTGCACTTCCTCACCCTCCTGAGAGGTAGATGGCTTGAAGAAAAAGTCCTCGAGTACTATGACCTAAAAGAGAGAGCTATTTTATGTAAGATCTAAAAAAAATTTGTAAATACACTGTGCTGAATATAACTATAGTGAAAAAATAATGAAGAAACTTGGTGAAGGATTTAATATATAGGGGTAAAATAGAGCCTGGGGAATAAGAGGTAAACAGGTTTGATCCAAGGAAAGCTAACATAATTCCAATTCCTAGGATCAAGAGCTTTCACCATCATCAAGAAAGCCACCCCCTCCCATCCTTCCTTCCCCTTTAAGGTAAAAAGAAGAAAAAAATTGTAAATGTCAACTGAAGTACAGTAGGTTGATGGGAAGGCAGAATTCAAACATAAAATTAACAAAAAAATCTTGAGCTACTATATCTACTTAAATACATTTTAAGTCATTTACTGGAACAGTAATTAATGCAGAGCTGACTGTGGGAAAACCAAGAATGGTAATGGATAAAATGCTAAAAAATGTAATAAAATGCTAAACATTGTGGAGTGAGATGTGTATCCATCAACAATTATTTATTGTAATTACACATACATAGAAATATAGATATGCAAAAATCAAGAAAACATTTATGACAATTTCAATTGGTGGCAAGAACTTTGTCCGTGGAAGCAAAGAGGGGAATGTATGAGAGTATAGTTATACCAGTGCATTATATGGGTGTGAAGCATGGGTAGTGAATGTTGTAACAAGGAGAAGGCTGGAGGCATTAGAGATGTCATATCTGAGGGCAATGTGTGGTGTGAATAAAATGCAGAGAATAAGTAGTTTGGAAATTAGGAGGATGTGCTGGATTACCAAAACTATTATCCAGAGGGCTGAGGAAGGGTTGTTGAGGTGGTTTGGACATGTAAAAGAGAATGGAACAAAACAGAATGACTTCGAGAGTGTATAAATCTGTAGTGGAGGGAAGGCGGGGTAGGGGTCAGCCTAGAAAAAGTTGGAGGGAGGGGGTAAAGGAGGTTTTGTGTGTGAGGGGCTTGGACTTCCAGCAAGTATGCATGAGCATATTTGATAGGAGTGAAAGGAGACAAATGGTTTTTAGGACTTGACATGCTTTTGGAGTGTGAGCAGGGTAACATTTACGAAGGGATTCAGGGAAATTGGAAGGTCGGACTTGAGTCCTGGAGATGGGAAGTACAGTGTCTGCACTCTGAAGGAGGGGTGTTAATGTTGCAGTTTTATAACTGTAGTGTAAACACGCCTCTGGCAAGACAGTGACGGAGTGAATGATGAAAGTTTTTCTTTTTCGAGCCACCCTGCCTTGGTGGGAAGTGGCCGATGTGTTAATGAAAAAAAAATAAGTAAAACTATTTACCTGTTTATTACTCTTCTTTCTTCAAATGATTATTAAATTCATAGAAATTGCTAAACCCATGCTGATTTCTCAAAATTACTATTATATTTATGTAAAGTGCTAAACCCAAGCTTCTTTCTCAAAACATAAGCATTTACTCACAGAATTTGCAAAATGCTTTATAACAATAATAAAATCCTTTATCAATGGAAGGGGTTGGACTTCCAGCAGGCGTGCATGAGCGTGTTCGATAGGAGTGAATGGAGACGAATGGTATTTGGGACCTGACAATCTGTTGGAGTGTGAGCAGGGTAATATTTAGTGAAGGGATTCAGGGAAACCAGTTATTTTTATATAGCCGGACTTGAATCCTGGAAATGGGAAGTACAATGCCTGCACTCTAAAGGAGGGGTTCAGGATATTAGCAGTTTGGTGGGATATGTTGTGTATCTTTACACGTATATGCTTCTAAACTGTTGTGTTCTGAGCACCTCTGCAAAAACAGTGATTATGTGTAAGGTGAAAGTGTTGAATGATGATGAAAGTATTTTCTTTTTGGGGATTTTCTTTCTTTTTGGGTCACTCTGTCTCGGTGGGAGACGGCCAACTTGTTAAAAAAAAAAAAAAAAAAAAACTGACTGGTAATGAGTTCTTCTACCCCAACAGCCAGGCCTGGAACCAGGCTTTTCTGATGATTGCCTCTTCAACCAAGCTCTTGCTGCTGGTGGCCCACTGGCCCACATATACTTCACAACCTGGCTGATCTGGCACATGGAGGAAGTAATAATCCAGTTTCTAGGTTGCTCTTGAGAACGTCTACACTTGTTCTGGCAAAATTTCTGACATCTGCTGGCAGCAGGTTGAATAGTCTTACACCATAGATGTTAACAGAGTCTTTCCTTTTTGTGGCCATGTTTCCCTGCTTTTTCACTAGGTGTATTTTACACTTCCTCTAGTATCTCTTGCTGTAGTAGTATGTTGTTTAAGTAATGTAGATTTGAGGCTAGGTTCTAAAGTATCTCGCTTGTATTTATCAGGCATTCACAGAGCTGTAGTTTAAGTGCTTTGTCAGTTTCAAGCAGCCCAATGGAAGTAAGTCACTCTGTCTGACTTTTTTGGGTTATCCCAGGTTCTCTACACATATGCTGCTATGTATGATAATTCTATGTAACTGTATTTGTGTATACCTGAATAAACTTACTTACTTACTTACTTACTAATCTCTGCACTTTTTTCAGATCTGATTTCTCTTGCCTTGAACAGAGCCACCATCAACAAATGATATTCTAAATGAGAGAGCAAAACGATTTAAACAGTGTCAAACTTTTCATTATTTATTGTTTTGAAAGTTTTCATTATCCACCATGTCATTATTCTGGCCATCATAACATTTGCATTATCATGTTTTGTAAATGATAAGTCACCTATCATTATCTTACCCCTCCTCCCTTTTTTTTTACATGTTCTTTTGCATTCTGAGATGGCCCTTCTGTGTTTTGTATACAGTGTTCCTTGAGAGTTCTTTATTCTTTTCAAATCTGAGCAGTTGGAATTTGTCACAAATGAACCTCATGTAATTTTCTTTTGCCCAGTGGAAAATCTTGTTGATGTCTGCGTACAATTTCTTATCTTCTAACAAGACAATTTTCAAGCTTATTATGGAACTGTCCACAGAGAAAGAGACAAAGTTGTGGCATGAACATTGTCATTTTAAAAGATATTGTAGTCTATTTAAAATGTCAGGAGTTACTTCTCACAGCTTTTAAGTACATACCTGTTGTCCAGAGAGAATAGGTTTAATCTTAACGGTTAACTCAGATGTTGTAACGATGATGGAAGCCTCACTGTCTTGAACAAAATACTCCAGTTCTGATGATGGATGTTTGGGGCTAAGTGGCACAGCTGCAGAATAAATGATAATACATCCTTATTTTTAATGTGCACTGCATGTCAACACTTCAGCTTTGTGTTTCAGCTGAACACAACACAAACATACTAAGGCCACAACATTTCTTTGTACTTTAACACTGTTATATTCACAAGAAAGCACAAAACCGTATAGGTCATTATTAGACTATATATTATTATGTTTACACAAAGCACTTACACCTGTGTGGATCATTCAACACAAGGAGTGGTGGAGGCTCGATCCTCAGTCCACTAACTCTTTAAGTAGCCATCATGTAAATTGACAATATAGATGCCAGGGTCCCTCATGCAAACTACATTTTGAACACAGATGCCTCAGATAAGCTGTGAGCAGTATGGGTCTGTGCGGAGAGTGTGCATAGTATCAAAAAATCCTTCCTCACACTTGTGTTTGGTTTAAAATGGTGTCTTTGAGGTGTTTTCTAGGATAGTTTCTATGGTTTCGTTGGCTGTATTTGGTATCAATTGATAGAATGAAAGATATGTTAATGAAATATAGATGATTTTCATTAATTTCAGGGCTGGAAGCAGCTTGAAACTGGGCTCAAAGTAGCAAAAATATTTGAGTTTTGCTGATTTTCCTGAGGATGAGTAAGGCCCCCCCTACACCCCATGGTCTGTTTCAGGGGGATTTTAATAAGTTTGATTCATTTATTGGGATACCATAAACTGGGACAAATCATTCCTGATATATTTTATTATCCAGGAAATAAAATAAATCTTCAGTTTTTGTGTAATTATGAATTTAAATTGGAAGGAAACACTACAAGTGTTTTGTGATGCAGATCTTAGTCATATGATGACCCGCCACTAGAGCTCTTGGTTACATGACTGAGGCCATTATGGTTATCAAATTGGAAGGCAAAAGTAATATTGGAGAGGCCTGGGAATGTGATTAATGAAGAGAAGAAATGTTGTTTTAGTACACTGTTTATTTTGCAATCTACTTTTAAATTGGCATTTTTTAATTTTGTGTAAAACTGGCCAAATTACTGAGTTCTGTACACTTTATAGGGTGGTTTCTTGTGCTCAATCGATAGATCAGAAGGCATACTTATGAAATAGCCAAGAATTTGGTCGAATGAAGCATTAGAATTTACTTAAAATAAGACTCAAAGTTGGCAAAATTGCTGATGCATAAATTATCCCCAGACCACTAAATTTGCACCTGTATAATTCCGCAAGTTTTCCTTCAAATTTCATACTTTTGGTGTCATTACCTATAGAAAATTATTCGCTACTACTTCAGAAGAAATTTTTTAAATGGACAATGGGACCCATGTTAATTTTGGGTGTCTGATTATTATTATTATTACTATTATTATTACTTTCTTTAACAGAGCAGCCATCTCCCACTGAGATGATAAATTTGCATTCTTAATTAATACTGTAACTCAATATCAACATGAATTAATTCAACAAAAGACACTGCCTACAAAAGTTACTAGAATTCCTCAATTATATATGCAGCACAAAAACCCAGATAAAAAAAAGGACTGCTCAGTTATAGTATACATACTACGATTTTCAGGCCTTCAAGAGAGTACCAGATCAAAGACTGTTAGCCAAAATAAGTGTGCACGGTAGTCCTTAACCCAATGTTTATTAAATTTAATGCAAAACTACCATGGGTAGAGTTGAATGATAGCTCAAGGCTTTTTGTGTTGCAATCAACACATCAGGAGCTTTCAAGTTGCAAAAGAGGAGGAGGAGGAGGTCCAAGTAGATACGATCACAGGAAATGCCTTTGCTGGAGTGAATGCTCACTCTAGCAAAGGTGTTCCTTGTGAACATATCAGCTTGGACCTCCTCCTTTCTGCAACATTGCAAGCTTCTGATGTGTTGATTGCAACACAAAAGGACCAGAGCTATCATTCAACTCCCCCATGATTGTTTTGCATCTTGTATTGCTTGTTTGCGATACTAGCATATCACAATTTAAATGAATGATCTGAAAAAGACTAACATCCAATATCAAAACATTAACATTTTTCTTAAGAAATAAACTCTATGAAGACAGACTCAGAGAATTCAGCCATGTTTATAATCTCTTTGCATATTTTTCACTTACATACTATGCTTGTTCTTACATGAGAAAAATAACAAATAAAGAAAAGGCATAAAGGAAAGGGTAATATAATACCTAGCATAATATGGTCAGTGAGTAAATGACACAAGTCACAAACAAAAGCTGTAATATGAATAGCAAGATCACACTTTTTCTTAGTTTACCAATTACTTGATAACACTTCCAAAGGCAATTTTGATCAAGCATTCCACTTCTTGAAAACATTAGGGTCACTGAAAAAGCTTAAGGACCATGTAAAAGTATATTAGTGGTGTTATATCACTTTTAAGAAGTATTGCATAATAAGAACCTACCAACATGACCAGCCATCCAAGCAGCCCACAGTGTTATCACGTATGAAACATCGTTGGGACAAAGGAAAGCAACACGTTCCTGTGCCGATTCTTTACCGAGCATGTCTTGCATTATCCAGGCCAAGTGGCCGCTGTTGAAGTAAAATAAGCTTAAAACAGGTATAATAAAAAAATTATTTAAATATACAAATACGCATGTGTGCCTGCACATACAACACACATGAACATATCAGGCAGAACTTCAGAGAGACCTGGACAAGCTGGACACCTGGTCCAGCAACTGGCTTCTCGAATTTAACCCCACCAAATGCAAAGTCATGAAGATCAGGGAAGGGCAAAGAAGACTGCAGACAGAGTATAGGCTAGGTGGCCAAAGACTGCAAACCTTGCTCAAGGAGAAAGATCTTGGGGTGAGTATAACACCGAGCACATCTCTGGAAGCGCACATCAACCAGATAACTGCTGCACCATGTGGGCGCCTGGCAAACCTGAGAATAGAGTTCCAATACCTTAGTAAGGAGTTGTTCAAGACACTGTACACCGTGTACGTCAGGTCTATACCGGAATGTGCAGCACCAGTTTGGAACCTGCACCGGGTCAAGCATGTCAAGAAATTAGAGAAAGAGCAAAGGTTTGCAACAAAGTTAGTTCCAGAACTAAGGGAAATGTCCTATGAAAAAAGGTTAAGGGAAATCGGTTTGACAACACTGGAGGACAGGAGGGTTAGGGAAGACATGATAATGACATACAAAATACTGCGTGGAATAGACAAGGTGGACAGAGACAGGATGTTCCAGAGAGGGGACAAAGAAGCAAGGGGTCACAATTGGAAGTTGAAGACCCAGATGAGTCAAAGGGATGTTAGGAAGTATTTCTTCAGTCAAAGAGTGGTCAGGAAGTGAAATAGTCTGGCGAGTGATGTAGTGGAGGCACGAACCATACATAGCTTTAAGACGAGGTATGATAAAGCTCATGGAGCAGGGAGAGAGAGGACCTAGTAACGTTCAGTGAAGAGGCAGGGCCAGGAGCTGAGTCTCGACCCCTGCAACCACAATTAGGTGAGTACCATTAGGTGAGTACATGTACTTATGGAGTAATTTTAAAAAGAGGTGGCATTATTTTATAAACAAAAATAAGAACAATTTTTTTTCAACAAACCAACTTCAAGATAATTATTCTTATAAACCTCCACCATAACTACCTTGCATTAGTATTAAGATAAAATAAATATTTATTAAAAAGTTAACCACTCTTATCTTGTCTAGACTTAAGTAGTCATTTTTTTTTTTTCAACAAGTCGGATGTCTCCCACCGAGGCAGGGTGACCCAAAAAGAAAGAAAATCCCCAAAAAGAAAATACTTTCATCAGCATTCAACACTTTCACCTCCCTCACACATAATCACTGTTTTTGCAGAGGTGCCCAGAATACAACAATTTAGAAGTATATATATGTATAAAAATACACAATATATCCCTCCAAACTGCCAATACAGTGGACCCCCGGTTAACGAACTTTTTTCATTCCAGTAGTATGTTCAGGTGCCAGTACTGACCGAATTTTTTCCCATAAGGAATATTGTGAAGTAGATTAGTCCATTTCAGACCCCCAAACATACACGTACAAACGCACTTACATAAATACACTTACATAATTGGTCGCATTTGGAGGTGATCGTTAAGCGGGGGTCCACTGTATCTCAAAGTAGTTATTATGTACATGTACTAGTATTTGTCTGACCAAAATGTCCCGGCATGATAGTGGCTTTCTTTGTACTTAACAAATCAAAACTGTAATTACACACTGTAACCTTTGCAAAGAAAAAAATTGTTATTCTTTATTCTTTTTAACTGGCCATATGCCACCGAGGCAGGGTGACCTAAAAAGAAAAACAAAAGTTTCTCCTTTCAAATTTAGAAATTTATACAGGAGAAGAGGTTACTAGTCCCTTGCTCCCAGCATTTTAGTCACCTCTAACGAAACACATGGTTACGGAAGAAGAATTCTGTTCCACTTCCCTATGGAGATAAGAGGAAATAAACAAAAACAAGAACTAATAAGAAAATAAAAGAAAACCCAGAGGGGTTTATATATATGTCTGAACATGCATGTGTAGTGTGACCTAAGTACAGTACAGTGGACCCCCGGTTAACGAACTTTTTTCATTCCAGTAGTATGTTCATGTGCCAGTACTGACCGAATTTTTTCCCACAAGGAATATTGTGAAGTAGATTAGTCCATTTCAGACCCCCAAACATACACGTACAAACGCACTTACATAAATACACTTACATAATTGGTTGCATTTGGAGGTGATCGTTAACCGGGGGTCCACTGTATAAGTAGAAGTAGCAAGACGTATCTGAAACCTTGCATGTTTATAAGACAGAAAAGACACACCAGCAATCCTACCATCATGTAAAACAGTTACAGGTTTCGTTTTACACTCACCTGGCAGAACGGTAGTACTACACTGTGTGGTTGCTGTCTACCAACCTACTACCTAGGATAAGAACAATTATGAATGATAAATAATAAGGTTGGGAGCAAGGGGCTAGTAACCCCTTTTCCAGTAGACATTATTGAATTTAAGAAGAAAAACTTTTGTTTTTCTTTTTAGGTCACCATGCCTTGGTGGGATACTCCGGATCATTAAAAACAAAAATAACAAGGTGGCATTCAAGGGAGAAATTATTCAGTATGTAGATGAGACATCTTAGCATATGACCCTACAGATGGAACGCTGGAAAAAAGAGGATAATGGAATAGCAATATTATTGCTCCTATTGTTTAATTTTCTATGCTTAAACTTTTTTAAATGAACTGCCTTGGGCCACAACAGAAGAACTTTATACTGGAAATTTACTGATTGTAATGAATATATTGCACAATACTATTATTCATATACTTTACAGAATAAAAACATCTTCCAATCTTATTCTATGAATATGTCCCTGTGTGTGTGCCCCATGACACATCCTCCAACCTTAATCTATGAATGTGTCCATATGTGTGGTCCCCATGCTGGTCAGTAAGAGCCACAGTATCCTTATACTGTACAGCTTTTCGAAACACTGGCAATTGTGAGGTTACCGATGGTGGAGACTTGTGCATCCAGGTTTTTGTTAAATGCTGCCAGTACGTAAAACATTTTTTTGATGAATGGAGAAGATTTATTCCTCTAATGGTTATCTGTTGCATAGCTGCTCAGCTCTGAAAAAAAAAGGAAAAAATTTACTGTATAACAAATCAGACACTAATCATTGACATAAAAATATTTTACATAACCTTATAAGTTTAGCCATCTACCGCTGAACTGGAGAAAGCATCCTGGAAATTGGAGATGGCAAATCAATGAAACAGTAAATAGCCCAAAGCATAATTATGTAATATTATATGCAAGGAAAGCATTAAATGCACAAAGGTCATTCAGAGCTATATAGCAGTGGCAAAACTAATGGCACAGCAGGATAGGTGAAAGTGCTGACATCAGCAGAAAGGATGGGGAAGTCACAGTTAATGTTGCAAATTGAAAGAGGGGATCGTCAGAGAGCAAGATGGACAAAATAAGCAAGTGAGAGTGTTGAAAGTGGCTGAAAGTATAGCCACTAATAAGTGATGATTATGTCATTATAACCCAGAAAGGTTAACACACAGCCAGTCAGGCCCCATGGCCTGGCTGGCAAAGTTCTCGCTTCGCATGCTGAGGGTTCAGTTCGATTCCCGGCAGGGGTAGAAACATTGGGCACATTTCCTTACACCTACTGTCCTGTTCACCTAGCAAACAAGTAGGTACCTGGGTGTTAGTCAACTGATGTGAGTCGCATCCTGGGGGGACAAGATTGAGGATCCGAGTAGAAATAAGACAGTCTCTCGATGATGCACTGCCTTTCTTGGGTTATACTGGGTGGTTAACACTCTGGGGTTAAAAATCCAAACAAAATCTTATCTTATCTTAAGGATAAAAATATATGTGCTCATCTGAAAATATTTTTAACGCACTGGATGTCTTCCACAGAGCTAGGGTGACTCCTCCACCCAAAAAAAGAAGAAGAAATGCATTCTCCATCAATCATTCAACTGATGTCTTGCCAGAAGTGTGCTGAGATCACAGGACTGCATATTTAATGTGAGGAGAGAAATCTGCACAGGTCATAGAGCACTTAGTGAAGAGGACGCAATTAGTCTTGATCCCAGGAAGGAAACAGATTCAATTCCTTGGATCAAGTGCCTTTCACCAACATCAAGGAACCTTTCTTGTCTGACAAAATCACCATGGCAATATTTTAGTGAATGCTTGGTAAATATTATGAGTACACAGCAACTCTTAATCTAACTTAACCCAAACAAGCCTAACCTAACCAAACCAAACCAAACCTAACCTAACCTAACCCAACCAAACCTAACCTAACCTAACCTAACCCAACCAAACCTAACCCAACCAAACCTAACCTAGCCCAACCAAACCCAACCTAACCTAACCCAACCAAACCTAACCTAACCTAACCAAACCTAACCTAACCTAACCAAACCTAACCTAACCAAACCTAACCTAACCTAACCAAACCTAACCTAACCTAATCTAACCAAACCTAACCTAGCCAAACCTAACCTAGCCTAACCTAACCTAACCTAACCAAACCTAACCTAACCAAACCTAGCCTAACCTAACCTAACCAAACCTAACCAAACCTAGCCAAACCAATCCTAACCTAACCTAGCCTAACCTAACCTAACCTAACCAAACCTAACCTAGCCTAGCCAAACCTAACCTAACCTAGCCAAACCAAACCTAACCTAACCTAACCAAACCTAACCTAACCTAACCAAACCTAACCTAACCTAACCTAACCAAACCTAACCTAACCTAACCAAACCTAACCTAACCAAACCTAACCTAACCTAACCAAACCTAACCTAACCTAACCAAACCTAACCTAATCTAACCAAACCTAACCTAGCCAAACCTAACCTAGCCTAACCTAACCTAACCTAACCAAACCTAACCTAACCAAACCTAGCCTAACCTAACCTAACCAAACCTAACCAAACCTAGCCAAACCAATCCTAACCTAACCTAGCCTAACCTAACCTAACCTAACCAAACCTAACCTAGCCTAGCCAAACCTAACCTAACCTAGCCAAACTAAACCTAACCTAACCTAACCAAACCTAACCTAAACCTAACCAAACCTAACCTAACCTAACCCAACCAAACCTAACCCAACCAAACCTAACCCAACCAAACCTAACCTAGCCCAACCAAACCCAACCTAACCTAACCCAACCAAACCTAACCTAACCTAACCAAACCTAACCTAACCTAACCTAACCTAACCAAACCAAACCTAACCAAACCTAACCTAATCTAACCAACCTAACCAAACCTAACCTAGCCAAACCTAACCTTACCTAACCTAGCCTAACCTAACCTAACCAAACCTAACCTAACCAAACCTAGCCTAACCTAACCAAACCTAACCAAACCTAGCCAAACCAATCCTAACCTAACCTAGCCTAACCTAACCTAGCCTAACCTAACCAAACCTAACCTAGCCTAGCCAAACCTAACCTAACCTAGCCAAACCAAACCTAACCTAACCAAACCTAACCTAACCAAACCTAACCTAACCTAACCTAGCCAAACCAAACCTAACCTAGCCAAATCAAACCTAACCTAACCTAACCTAGCCAAACCTAACCTAACCTAGCCAAACCTAACCTAACCAAACCAAACCTAACCTAACCTAGCCTAGCCTAGCCAAACCAAACCTAGCCAAACCTAACCTAATCTAGCCAAACCAAACCTAACCTACCCAAACCAAACCTAACCTAACCTAACCAAACCTAACCTAACCTAGCCAAACCTAACCTAACCTAACCTAGCCAAACCTAACCTAGCCAAACCTAACCTAACCAAACCTAACCTAGCCAACCCTAACCTAGACTAACCTAACCTAAGCTAATGTAACCTAACCTAACCTAGCCTAACCTAACCTAATGTAACCTAGCCTAACCTAGCCTAATCTAACCTAATGTAACCTAACTTAGAAACAGGCTCCAAAACTTTATGTAAAAGTGAGAGATATAGTTCATGGGAGGACTGCTTGTCTCGAGATCATTAAAAAAATAAATTGTACATTACGTAATACCTATACAAACAAAATTCCTGGGTTAAATTGCTCTTAATACACGAACGTAACTTTCCTAAATTATAATTTAGGGGAGCGCTAAACCCGTAGGATTATGCAGCGCCTATGGAGGGGGGATATGGAAGGTATTAAGACTTAATTCAGGGAACCAGAGCACAGATCCAATTCCCTAGATCAAGAGCCCTTTGAGGGGATCTAAAAAAATATCATTAACAACAATTATTCAAGAATCACTTCTATTACCAGAGACTGACAATACTCAAGTTTATTATTATTATCATCATAACCAAGCGCTTAACCTGTAAGGGTCACACAGCATATACACTAGTCTTAAAGAATAATAAAGTACATTTGTCTCTCAAATATTAATAAATAAAAAAAAACCTCTTGCTGTGTCTTGTTGGGGCTGTTAAGGGCCACTATAATTCAATTCAATTCAAAGTTTATTCTCTACAATGATTGTTATAGGAATGCAGTTAGAAGCCTGAGTAGATCTATAACCCATTATGATAACATGAACGTAGATAAATATGTTTATGGAGCAACTTGCAGTGTGAAATGCCTAGCCATGCTAAGCGTTCTAGTGGTACACTCTGTAATCACAATTTTACTACATGTGAACCACACAATAACCAAATTTCTGTAAACTCAGCATTGTAATCCTTATAGAGAATAAACTTTGACTGATGTTGTAGTGGCCAGGCTTAGGCTTGGTTACAAGTACTTCTGGCAGTTTGGGAGACACACAGATGATGATCAAACTAATGTAAATTATGTGATCAGGCATATGGTCAGTCTTGAACACTATGTGCTTAATTGTCCACTTATTGAGGAATACAGAGATAGACAGTATAATAACTTATGTGACATGTCAAGATATCTTATTAATGAAAATAAGATACCAGGCCTGGTGGCTAAAGCTCCCGCTTCACACACGGAGGGCCCGGGTTCGATTCCCGGCGGGTGGAAACATTCCGACATGTTTCCTTACACCTGTTGTCCTGTTCACCTAGCAGCAAATAGGTACCTGGGTGTTAGTCGACTGGTGTGGGTCGCATCCTGGGGGACAAGATTAAGGACCCCAATGGAAATAAGTTAGACAGCCCTCGATGACGCACTGACTTTCTTGGGTTATCCTGGGTGGCTAACCCTCCGCGGTTAAAAATCCGAACGAAATCTTATCTTGGGGCCTAGTTCCTAGGCCTTTTGTGTATCCATATGCTCTCGCGCTACCGTCCACAGGATGGATATGGGGTGCACAATAAACTAGCCACTTCGGTGGCAAAATCTAAAAATCTAAATCTTCTCTATAAGGATTACAATGCTGAGTTTACAGAACTTGGTTATTGTGTGGTTTACATGTAGTAAAATACTAATTACAGAGTGTACCACTAGAACACCTAGCATGGCTAGGCATTTCGGGCAGACTTAGATTAATTCTTAAATTTAAAATACTACAAATTATGAGGTAAGTTGGTATTATGGCTAAGTGACTAAATACTAGTTTGTGAGTTTAGCAATGTGAATGCTTTTGTTTTGGCACAGTACATAGTTTCAGTATTGGAGTATCACAGGATTCATTATTTTAAGATTGAGATTAATATTTCTGTTTATGGTTCAAATGGGGTGAGTGAGTGTAAGTTGTGACACCAGGTGGTATCGTGTGTAGTTAGTCGGATGGGGTGTATCCAGGGCTGATAAGGGATGTTTTCTAATTGGTAGTTTTGAAGGTGATGAATGTGTCTGCAGTTCTAGAGTTTTCAGGTAGGGTGTTCCAGATTTTAGGGCTGTGGAAAATACTGTATATATTTTCCAGAAATACAGTAGTTATTAAATGTAAATAGATGGCCATACTGTATTTAAAATTGATGTATCGAAAACGGGAAGCTGCGCTTGGGCAGAAGAGACACTGCCATCTCTTCCGGTTCCCGGGATTAGAAATAGGATACAACGTTACATAACGGGTAAGGAATTTTTCTGTGATTAGAGGTTCAAATTGGATTTGTGCACTTCTCAAATAGGAGGCGAAATTGTTGGATGTGCATTCCTGCATAACTTGAG